CCCCCCCCGGCAACTACGCTGGAGCTGGTATCCTAACCCCGCCCTCGCGTACCTGCGTGCGCAGCGCTGAGCCGTAAACCTCCACGTCAGCGACAGCTTGCGGTCCTTCGGAAGAGCGCACCGGTGTTCCGGCGCCGGCCGGTGAGCGTTGCGGAATTTTCCGCAAGCTGACGGGGAGTGGAGGTCGCTTTGATGTCATCCTCCTTTCGTGACACAGGATCCAGACTGGGAGAGTGTCCCTAACCCACTGCCACCTGCCACCTTCAGGAAATGGGATATTTACTTCATTACTGCCTCACTGACTAACGCGAAGGACTGAGGCCTTACATCCTGCACGGATCAGCGATAAGGAGTATTATCAGCAAGCACTTATAACTTCCTGTGCTTCCTCATGATCTGCTCTCTCTCTCTCTCGTCTAGATGTAAAGATCCAGTTAATCAGATGTGATTGTTTCACTTTAACTCTGAGAGATATGAGCTCCTCCTCCTCTGGCTTCCAGGGGATTGATGCTGTTAATATTTACATGTCTTCTAATTAGCTGCAGGAGTGAGATGCCGGTGGTGGCTAATCTGCGGCACGGGCAGGCACTCCGGATACGTCCGTCCTTTCCACGGAGCAGGTGACGCCACTGGAAGGAGATGCCAGTAGATGCTGATTGGTGGATGTGGCTTACGCCCCTAATGGCGGTACCCGGGCGACAGGGTTATGTGAGGTGCCAGCACCTTCTAGCTGTCTTGTAGAGGCAGTGAAGGTGAGGTTTTGGGGCCTTAAGTGCCATGTGGGGGAGAAGGGGGGTGGCAGCCAGGAAGCTGGGAGGGGGGAATGAGGGTGGGGATGGTGGGGGGGGTGGCAGGCGTTTATTAGAGGACTGGAGCAGGGTGGGGGGAGCTGTCTGTGCTCCCATGGGACTCCTCTGGTTGTTGTAAGCAGTGCAGGGCAGCATTCACCCCCCCCCCCACGGCGAGTACAGTTTGCTCACCGCGAGGACGGCGGTCGCCTGGCCGTCCGATCTCTGCCGACGCCTCTCTACGCGGCAGCTCGCCCTCAGACAACAGGGAGACATATATTATACTGGTCATGATTAAGCCATCTGCCGGGAAAAGGCTGAGCCGAAGCTGACAGGACGGAGCAATGTCGCCACCCCCTGGCTGGAGGCTGCTATTGCAGGCAGGCATGCAAAGCGCTTCTATCCGCTCAGTCTTTTATTACTGTTATCGTACGTATTTTACACCTGCACTTAAAACACATTATACCATCCAGTGTATGTCATGTGTGGCCTCTGGTTTTTGGCTTTGCCGCTGAACGTCATTGAATGAGATCTTTATTGAGCACTATAGCCCCCTCTCTGTATGTTTATGGAGGTTCAGCATTGATTATCTTCTTCTTCGACATGTCGTGACCCAGCCCACACCCATTTCAGTCACTCAGCCAATCAGATGCACGTAAAGCACAGCCCTGCAAGCGTGCAGTGCCTCATTGCAGCGACAGGCGGAGCCGACGTCCACCGAGGGGCGCTGTTCGCTGCATTTCTTTGGCCTTGGAGAGAGCAGGCCGCATGCGTAGGCGTGTGTGTGCTTGTAATTAAATGGCATGTTCGGAGGACCCACTGGTGGCAGCAGGTTTAACGCTCACCATAAAAGGGCGGGGCCGTAGGGTCACTGGCCCCAGCTGAAAGGTGATTGGCCCCTGAAGAGCTCTCTCCCCCGTCACTCACTGATTCAAAACACATCATTGGCTAATGATAAGCTTGGTCCCTGTCTATGTCCTCTTGTTTTTTTTTTTTAAAATCCCTGAATGTCACCTGTTGACAACAACATACATGTCGCTTCCTGGATCGATCGGTGACGGGCAATTCCACTCCGGAAACAGAGTATAAACTGGTGATCCGATGACAGCTGGTGTCCATGGCGGTGATGTCACAGAGTCCGAGAGGCTCCTTGCCACGGTGGGGGCCTCCCTATTAGATCCAGGGACTCCGTGCTGGACAGTCGTTGCCTTGGTAACCACAGTGACCCACTCAAAGTGTGACATAAATCAAGTGGCTGTGAGTGCTGTCTCGCAGAGCCGGGCCCCAAGACGAGGAGCACAAGATACAGGCCATGTCCAGCGGCACAGCTCGCCTGAAACGGAGCGCCCTCTGCTGGGGAAAAACACTTCAGGCGTGAGATGGACGCAGGAATGCTACTGTGGGAGGGTGTTCCCCTTATTAATACATTTTGTTAGCGTTTTAATTAGTCTGTCTGCTCTATTGATTAATCTCTCTCAGGTTTGGTTGGCTCTCTACAGCCCGTCCGTCCGGCTGCTGCCTTTTAACCAGACAGTTTTCATTAAGCTGAGCTAAAACCATGTCATTAGCATCTATACACATTAATTAGAGTTGATGTGTCAAAGTCGACTTTATTGTCACTGTGTACACACATGAAGAAATGAGGTAGACTGCCTTCCTAGTGCAAGCGTTAGATATTGCGAAAGTATTAAAAATATAGGAGAGTCGATCATAAGAATAACCTGAGGTAAAGAAAAAAGTGGAATAAATAGCTTCTTGACTTGAGTGATGTATGCGGAATCAGCCAAGCCTTGGCCTTGCGTGGTGTTAATCCAAGTGCACCCGCACATAAGGGTGATTGAAGAGACTTTAACTAAGCCATGTGCCCTGTGCTGCTTGGGATTGGCTCCAGCTGCCCATGTGACCCTGCTGCATGGGATTGGCTCCAGCCCCCCATGTGACCCTGCTGCATGGGATTGGCTCCAGCCGCCCATGTGACCCTGCTGCATGGGATTGGCTCCAGCCCCCCCTGTGACCCTGAGGAGAGTAAGCAGTTGGTAGATGAGTGGCACGTGATGGGGGGCATCCACAAGGCACGTGAGGGGGGCATCCTTTCAATGCCATGTAGGATGACTGTGTGCACCATACAACCACTCTATGTTTGAAAGCCATCTCTCTCTCTTTCTCTCAGGAACAGAACATGGTTGGTGTCCCACGGCAGCCTGGTGGGGTCCAGCCCTCACTCACTGGCCCAGGAGGCGTGGTGCCGGGGACCAATGGCAGTGCGCCGGGATACCTGGGCAACCCACAGCAGGCGGCCATGATGAAGCAGATGATGCAGATGGAGCAGGAGAAGCGTGTGCAACTGCACCTGCTTGAGCAGCAGAAGCAGCAGGCTCTGCGTGAGCAGAGGCAGCAGCAGCTGCTGGCCGAGCAGGTACCCCGTGACGGACAGCTCCGTGCACCAATCTCCAAGCCCTGGTTTATGGCCTCTGGCCTTTAGAAACTGGGTCATACACTGTGCTCCTTAAACAGTGTATGCAGTGTTCCATTAGCACTGGATCATATACGGTACTTTATAAATACTGAACAAATGCAGTGTTCCATTGGCACTGGGTCATATACCGTGCTCTATGTACGCTATATATATACTGGATTAATGCAGCATTCCATTGACACTGGATTGTATCCGATGCTCTATAAATACTGGATAATGCAGTGTTCCTTTGGCACTGGATCCTATGTAGTACTCTATAAACACTGGATTACATACAGTGTTCCTTTGGCACTGGATCATATATAGTACTCTATAAACACTGGATTACATACAGTGTTCCTTTGGCACTGGATCATATATAGTACTCTATAAACACTGGACTACATACAGTGTTCCATTGGCACTGGATCATATATGGTGCTCTATTTATACATTGCTCTTAAATATTGGGCTCTTGTCTTTAGACACTAGATACAGTGTTCTGCAGACAATGGATCATATAAGGCGTTCCATTAGTAGTGTATCATATGACCTGTTGCATCAACACCGGATTATATGCTGCGCTACATAAACAATGGATCATGCACAGTTCTCCATACATAATGGATTATAAGCAGTGGTCCATAAATATTGAATAATGCATACTGCTCCATAAACACTGTTCTCTAGACACTGGATCATATACATTGTTCTATCAACACTAGATTGTTTATAGTGCTTCATAAGCACTGGATCATGTGCATTGTTCCACTGAAACTGGATTATACTCCATAAACACTGGTCCCTGGTCGTCAGAGACGGGATCATACGTTGTGCTCTGCAGATAAGCTGCCTCTTGGTCTGGAGGTGACACCGCTTAATCATGTCATGCAGTGCTCTATCTACCCCAGAATCTGTGTGCTGGAGTTGTCTGTCTAATCCCATGTTGTTTATCCATCTAATGCCGCCCCCCCCCCCCTCCACAGTTACAGCAGCAGCACCCCAGGCAGCTGCCCCACCAGCAGAGAAGCCCTTACCCCGTTCAGCAGGTGACCCAGTTCCAGGGTAAGACATGACCCGCATGCAACCGGGTCTGGCTCACGGCATGGCATAGCGGCTCCTGTTAATGGAATTTAAACATTTTAAAATTACATGTAGTCGGACTCTATTGTGTTGCCTCTTATATGGCACCAGTTAAACGTTTGGACACATCTACCTATAGAAAGGTTTATTTGTTCTATTGTCTATGTTTCCAAATGATTATAAAGACGTCAAAACTATAAGATGACACATTTGGAATTATGCATCAACCAAAAAAGTATTAAAAAAAATTATTTGTTGGGGGGGCAGCTCTATAGCTTGGGATTCAGAAGGTTTTTGGTTCATATCCCTGGTTGGCAGAGTGATCCCACCTTTGGGCCCTTGAGCGAGGCCCTTAACCCCAGTTGCCCCAGGGACTGGCTGCCCCTACTGTCCCCTCTACACCAGTTCCATGAGGTGGCCTCCTGGGATGCTTTTCCAGCTGTCCTGTAGGAGGTCCCACATATGCTGAGCCCTCATTGGCTGCTCTTCCTTCAGTCTCTGGTCAAACTCCTCCAAAACCATTTCTACTGTGTTTAGGTCAGGTGACCAGGTCATGTGATGCGACACTATCACTCTCCTTTGTAAGCGGCTAGAACTATAACCAAAAACACTGAAGTCCCTCTGGATGAACACTTACCCAACAATATTTAGACCTGTGATTTCAAACAGCTCAGAAACTTCCTCGATGAAAAATACATCTTGCCCGTCAGTCACACAAGGCAGAGCTGCCCGCCCCTAACTGACTGGAGGTTAGAGCCTCGTGAAGGTGAACGGTGCTCACTGTAACAGCCACATGTTAGAGTGGGGAGGGGTGCTGTCGCATGGCTGACCGTGGAAGAGCCAAAGGAGCGGGTCCAAATCCCACTTCCCTTGGCTGATGATGGAGAAAGCTGATGACATGTAATTCTGAGCACCCGGAGAAACCAATGTCTTGACTGACTGGTTTTTGCATCATCTGTGTTGCTTCTGCGGAGAACATGAACCTGAAAAACTGTAACCAAGATTGAATCTGTGAAGCCCAATCTCCAGGCAACACCTCAGTGAGAAGCAAAGACTTTTAACTCCTCAAACGGTTTCTTGAAGAAATGGAGAAAATGGCTGCTGTCAGAGACCCACATTTGTAAAGCTGACCTCGGGTCGTCCCGTGGTTTCTGCCCAGTGAGGACAAGCTTTTTGAGGGACCTTCATATGGTTTTCAGCAGCAGGTCACAGGATGGTTATGTTCAGGACTAGAGACCTTTGCTGGTCTAAGTCCTGATCTGTCCTGAATTCTGAAGGCTGAAGGAGACTTTGAAGCTGTTTCATTGAAAAATCCTTATTTATTAAGCAAATAACTGTTGTGTTTTAAATTTATTGTTTTCCGTCCAACTCATGCAATTATATGGATTAAATTACTCAGTTAGAGTACTTGCAGGTCAGGCTCAACAAGTTCCCTAACTCTATCTAGAAGTAGCACCAAGTGTCATCTAACACCCAGTGGTGTAACTCAGAGTGAAGCCACATCAAACACCTTGTAGTGTAACTCAGAGAAATGTTACATCCAACACACAGTGGTCTAACTTGGAACAAAGCCACATCTAACAGTCAGTGGTGCAACTCAGAGCAAAGTCACATCAAATGCCCAGTGGTGTAACTCGGTTACGTCCAACACCCAGTGGTGTAACAACTGGTAATAAATCTGGAGCGCCTGCCAACAAGTCTCAGAATTTTTCCATGGACTCACACTTAAATATAACCTGTGAGAATCTAATTTCATGACAGCTGTTTGGACTCACAGCACCTCCATGAAATACATTTGGTAATTTTTAATCTACAGTGCTGCTGCACTTCTTCCCCAAAGATGCAGCGTCCATCAGAAATGCGAAAAGCGCAACTTTTTCGGCTCCAATCGTCGCCATGGCAACCTGACCCAGATCTCAAGTGTTCCAACGACTTGAGTCAGATCGGCAAGGAAACAGATTTACTTTGCTAATGGAAAAGAGAAGCTCTCCATAGACGTCCCGGGGGCAACGCTTTGTTCTCCTTGAAGGAGTCGTGTGTGATTTCGTGCTGTTCTTCACAGACATTCGAGGGAAGCATGCATCTGTGCTGGTCCATTTCTAATGTCTGCTATTGATTGGTAGCAGGAGGGTCAGCCAGTAATTGTTTAAATCTTTATGTATCTAAAGCAGGGACAGAAAATGGTGGATCTCGATCACTAAATCATACACAGCTCCAGAACAGAACTGGGGACATTTTGAGTAACGATGCCATCTGTTCTCATTGGTCCTGGTCCCATGAGAAGACGGCTCATTGGCTGTCAGGTTTTCAGCTCCGCCTACTGCCAGGTTTTCATGCGTGGTTCTTGTTTTCAGGCTCGCAGCAAGAGATGGCCGCCAGGAACCAGGCTCTCCAGAACATCCGCAACGCCAGGCTGCTCCAGCAGCAGCAGCAGCCGCAGAATCAAGGGATGCTCCAGATAGCACCGGTGCAGAATTCCACCCCCATTCCCGCGGGGGCCGGCCAGTCAGACATGGGCGTGGCCTACACCGGCCAGCCGGCCGGTCAGCAGAGCATGTACGGCCTAAATGCCGGCGTCAACCAGATACTACAGCACCCAGCCCAGGGAGGCGTGGGTATGGCCCACAATGCAACACAAGTGCAGAGGCAGCCTGGTAGCGGGCATGCAGGGGGCATGGTGAGCGGGTACGGACAGGGCATGCTGATGAACCCCGACATGTCCCAGCAGCCCATGAAGGGCCCCGCCATCGCCAAGGGCCAGGCGCAGAGACTGCAAAGCATGATGGGAGGAGCCTCCCAGGCTTGGCAGCAGCAGCAGCAGCAGAACCTGCAGGCGACGGCGGGCCGGACTAGCGGGGAGATGGCGGCCTTCAACGGCAGCCCCGTGTATGCCATGCAGGCTGGCCAGCCTCGTATAGTCAAGCAGCACTTTCCACAGGCGGTGGGCCAGCCCATGGTGGACCCCAGGGCCGTGAATCCAGCCATGGGAGGCCAGATGATGCGGACCAACCAACCACGGCCCGTAGCTTTGCCCGGCATGGCGCAGGTCGTCCCCAACATGGCCCCATTCAGCCAGGCGCAGAGCCAACCAATGGTGGCAGCCGGAGGCTCGTACATGCAGGGCAGCCAGCCGCCCACATACCAGCGGACACCCAGTCAGGACCTGTCGTACGGCTACAGCGGGCAGCCGTCTGGAGGCGGAGCCTATAACCTGCCAGAGAGGGCGGAGCTGGACTCTGCAGATGGCTGGATGGACGAGTTCTTTTCCAGCCAATAGCGGGCAGGCATGGGTGGGGCTTCAAGTTGACTATGGATGGACACAAAGAGGAAGGAAGGACCTGGGTGAACGACAAAAGCTTTCATTTTTTAAGATGTTAATGACCTGGAGAGAACAAAAATGTGGCTTTTGTGCACCGTCATGGTATTTAAAAACTCCTCCTGATGGGAATGAAGTCTGTCAGGAGTTTAATGGTTTTTCACACAGGATGTTTATTCGCGTTTTTAATTTAAAAAATGTCATACTTCCCCCAGTTTCAAATCTGCACTGCGAAATCTGTAAAATCTGAATTATACTTAAATTCCGGGCACTGGAGGGGAAACAGCAAGCCGTTAAGAAAACTGTTGATATCTTTTGATTGGGATCACAGGATCGTTCGCAGCATCTGCATCATGCCACGTAGCTCGTCAGTTCGGAGTGTTTTTCCATTCTGGGTCTCGTGGGGGTCATTAAGTCGAAGCATTCCCTGCATTCCTATCGGCATGCAAGGCTTTGACTTTAAACCTGACGATCCTTTGTTTACCCCAGAAGCTGTAGAAAACATCAGGTGCTTCTCCTACCTGTAATGAATTTACCCCCCCCCAGGAGCAGCGCACCACACACCCACTCCCGCTTACAGGCTTGCCTTTAATCTGTATTTGTCTGCTATTTATGTCCCGAAAATAACAACAAAACAGTCAGGATTCTTTGTTGGGCGTCAGTATGCGCCCTGGTAGGGCGGCCCGTCTCTTAGCAACCAGCAACGCGGCGTCGGAATGGGTGGAATCACCACACATGTGACTGTGGCGTTCTGGCTGAAGTTCTGACTGGCTGAACTGTCACGTGGAAGCTCACACTGATTTATAGGAAACGAATGGAACAGCCACTAACACACTAACACACACATGGAACACACTTCAGCAAATTCTTAAATGTGTGAGCTTTAATAGGAAACTTGAATTTTAACCTAGATATTTATGCAGAATATGTATTTTAATGCCGCAAATACACTCTCATACCTGCGCTTCACACATTTTGGGGCGGGGGTTCGAACGATTGTTAGGGCCCTGGAGTGAAAATTTGGAACATAACTGGATTGTATTGGATATAATGAGCTTAAGTATGAATTGTTTTTTCTTGGGACTTACATTGTCTGAATACATGCTCCATCATGACAAAAACAGAGATTTTCTACTTCAACTAGAAATTAATTGGGTCTAATAGGTTTTTTTTTTTTTTACTTTAATGCATATAGGCTTAATATCAATCAAGGCCTAACAAAGGATTTATGTTTGACCGGGTCATTCTGGTTTTTTTTTTTCTCTCCATTACAAATGTTTCTGACACAGGACCGTTCGCTCTGGAGACAGGAGGGGGCAGTGTGGAGCCCATAGTTGAGGCCTGTCTCCACCCCCCAGGAGAACTGCCTGCCAGATTCCTCCGGGTCACGTGGTCTGGGACCAATCGGATGTAGACTTTGTTCTTTCTGTTGTCGTCGGTCATTTCCGTTGGTCTGTTATTTTGTTTAACTGGTGCTGACGTGTATGTGATAATGAAAAAAAGTATATAAAAGAAAGTTGCTATTTGTAAATATGTTTTTACAGGTTTAAATACATCAGATGATATGGCTATACCCTCTGTAAAGAAATTCTTGTTTGTTGAAAATAGAGACATATTTTTATTTTGTTTTTTTTTTCACTTTTAAAATCATCTGAGCTATGCCATTGCACTTCAGACAATGTCTTACTACTAATTTGTATTGTAATTCAAAATTTTTATTTGGTCATTTTTCTAGTTTGAGATTTTACTCTGTACTTTAAGCAGTGCTTATTTCTTTTTACCCTGTACAGAATTGCAAAATGTAAACGCGAGAATACAGACACACGTTTGTTTTTCAGAAAAAAACAACAAAAATAAAGAAAGATGGTTATCTCATTGATCGTATTAAATGAACATCCCCGTCTGGTCCCAGTACATTTCTTCTACATTATATTACACAGATTCTTCACATGGTGAGACCCAGTCGAGGGTGAGGGTATGATTCAGAAGGTTGTATCCTCGTATGATTCGCCACAGCTATGGCACCAATGGGCTGAAACTAAGCAGGGTTTAGTTATCCAATAAGGATCTGCAGATCGGCACTGAAATATCGATTTTTTTTTCCCAATCCGACTGCTTCATTTTGAGAATCAATTCTAACGTCGATATTTCAATCTTTTTACCCCGATAATTTAAATGTTAATTATTATAAGAGCAGAACATTAACCAGTAGCGGGGGCAAGGCCACCCATGGGGGGGGAGTGACTTTCGGGGCCAATCTGTTTGGCAGGCCTTAGGGTGCCCTTTGACTAGGGGGCGCTAAAGACATTACGGTTATTTAAACTAGTTTTAATATTGTACTACTATTCTTGTGAAACAAACATGAGCTAGCTAGTTAGCCAGATACCCAAATGTTTTAATATGAATGAATACACATAATTTTTTTCTGCTGCCCGAGGAAGCTCAGCAGAATCTCACCTGGGGGGGATGGCACCAGAACACTAGTGAACTAGGGAAATATGGTCGACGCAAGAAGTGTAGTGACTTGACCGCGTAGTTTATGTAAAGGTCATGTCCACCAGGGGGCAGTGCGAGGAAACCATTATACTCGGCTCCTTCGTTTCCGGTCTCACGTTTTGTATGAGGTTGTGACATGAAATGATGTACGCTGCTGCCTCCGCGGCGACCAAGTTGCTAATATATTACTACTGTTGCGGCGTCCTCTGTATTCTGACCGCTGCTCCACATCGTACTTCGCTCTGCCATATATCACTTTACTACCCCAAGTTGATTGTTGCATTGTATGTTGTTAGATATCGTTAGTATTTAGTAATTAGGCTGCAGGACACTGAAAAATACGTATACATATACCTATTGCAGTATTTTTAAAGAAAAAAATAATCAATTTCCCACAATCACGTTTATTCGTGAGTGATTTAATCAGCAAGGATGAAAATAACTAGGGATGGTTTGCGGTAAACTTTAAACTAATGTTAAACGTATACTAGATAATTCTGAAAAGGAGCGTTCAGCTTCCTAAGTTTTGTTTCCTCTAACCATATAAATCTTATAGCGAAATGTAAACCCCACGCTCTCGGCGAATTTTATAACCAAGCTTTATAAATATCGGAACTGTATTTCATGCTCATGAAAGTAGGTAAGTCAGAATTTCAAGTTAGAGCTTCATTGTACTTCGTACATGACACTGCGTTCTTAGAAACGTAAACTGATTACATTTTGAAGACGCTGTACATCGAGGGACACAATATATAATGCTCGCAATATTTTCTCTCTTGCCTCTGAAAATATACAGCCAGTAATTCTTAAAAAAATCAGATGTTGCTTTAATACATAGTCCCGTGACAAAAGGTTTCCCAACTGCCACCGCAATGTTTGGCCCTACTGCATCTCGCGCGCGCGCCGCGTTAACTCCTCGCGCAGGTGCACCTATGACGCGTGGAATTAACGCAGTAAAGACTTGGCGGCCATGATGCGTACGCGTCGTGACAGTCAAGTACAAAACAACCGCGTAACGCTCCTCACACCTCTGCCTTCTGAGGATGGAATAATCCAGAATGTACTCCATTCACCGGGGGAAAGGACGCTACATAGGATTAGCATTAGCGATTAGCATTGGCCTACCCTTCCAAAGGACAGAGAGGACCTGACCCGTGTCCAGACACTCAGTGGTCTCAGCAGAGATGCTAATTGGAGTCAGAGTCGCCTGTGGGGGTCTACAGGCTGTTTAGGGAGGGTGTGGCCTTCAGCATGACAGGGCAGAGACCCTAAGAACAGGCTCAGTATACTAAAAACAAAAAAAACATCCTGAAATATGTTGCTGGCTGTCCTGTGAACATTTATTTGATTTTTGAAAGCAACTCAGGGCCAGTGAAACCACCCTCTTTTGTGTTTTGGGGAAGAGGGTGGTTCACTGGTTTGGAATGGAAAATGGCAACAGTTTTAAGTTAAAGGGGAAATGGCTTATGTTCCTCATTCTCTGTCTTACAAGGCGTCCTAATGTTTCTCTTGGTACTGGTTTCTCTAGATGAACAGGGTTGGGCGCAGGTGGTTAGCCTTCAAACCATTCCGCACATCCTGCCAGGGACGCCTCAGCCGGCCATTTCGCAGCGAATCACACGCAGCTAATCACCCCGCAGCTCTGTGGGTGTTAATTCGGTTATGAATCTAATAATAACCAGCCAGAAGCTTCTGGAAGGATTTCACAAAGGACTAGCACTTCTGCAAGACATCGCGGCTGACAGCCACGACTTGCACCAACTGTCACCCAGAACTTTCTGCTCAGTGATCTCAGTATTTATCACACATACATATATTGTACAGCTGTTTCTGGTACTTCTGCACTATTTTAGAAACACTTTTACACTATTTTAGAAGCCACTATGCATTTTGTTGTGTGAGTACTTCTGCCAGATGCAATGACGATAAACTAAGTTGAATCTAATCCAATGTAATTTAATGCAGATTTGCTATTAACCAAAGAAGGTATGATCACTACCAAGAAAAAGGTCAAATTGGAGGCTGGTTCAGTGTGGTGAAGAGAAGTATTTTGGTAAATAGGGCAGACAGTCTTTTCTTACCAACCAGTAACTAGCAGGTTAACTAAACAGAGGTTACCTAAACCAGACAGCAGCTTACCACGCTCCAGGATCCCAGCAGGCTCAGAGTTACTCTATTTTCCTGGAAACAGGCTGCCGTTTTGATGGTCATCCCCAAAGCAATTCATCAACGGCAGTGAGATTGTGTGCAGTTTTATCAGCCAGTGGTGTCATCGTGTTCTTGTGGCTGGGATGAGGGGGGCCACGTTTGGTTTACGAGAGGGGGGGGGGGGACCAGAGGAGGGTAGATTTACCAGCGGCTGCCAGGCCCCCACCACCTTTCCATAATTAAGAGGACGTATGCTACAGAGGGCCTCTTTATTCCTCACGCCGTCGCCCGGCACCGCCGTCGTCCCCGGCAACCGCGCACGCACACGCATACTCCTGACCGTGATGAATGGGAGGCGTCGTTACTTCCCGACGTCAGGATGGGGGTCGGGGGCTGCTTATGAATGTATCTGGGGGGGGGACCCCTCCCTGGGGGTCCCGGTGAATGGAGGACATTATCTTCCCCTCCCGCAGACGGTCGTAATCAAATACTCTGAATGCTGGTAAAGTGTGACCGCTTTGAGGGGGCAGCCCCCGCACATTTTAATCATGGTGATTAATACCCTGTCACCTGCGGGGAGGATCCCTGGGCCAGTCAGAATGGGACCCTGGGTCGGCCCCGGGGCCCGTCTCCCCAATTAGCTTCGCAAAGTCCCGCCTTCGCTCGTCACCGCTCATTAATATGCAGATCAGCCGCCACCTCGGCGTATCATCGTCACCGAGAGGTTAATGGAGGCCGCGCCCTGTTCTGGCTTTCGCACACCGTCGTGCGGCCTCTGCCAGCGGTCACACCTCACTCTTAACGAGTAAAACGGTGACTCTGTCTTTCCTGGACATATTTCTCCCAGGTCCCTCCAGCCCTCTGGAACAGGTACGCAAAATAATATTTTTTCATAAGCTCTTTAGACGTTTCCTACATTTGGACAAGTGACCGTCACCTGTTTTAGAACCGTCACTTTATGAAGACAAAGTGAACCTTATTTTAGCTGAATATCTATATATATATGTAACATAAATATATAGACTCACACAAAGTCCTGCACCCTCAGCATTGGGGGGAACAGGGCAGTCCACACCTATTGCTGACCACAGCAAAACTATTCCGAAATAATAGAGTCGACCGTGTCGTCGATATATTTTCACACTGTCCAAATGCTCAAATTGCACGAAAAGTCCCAGCAGTGTAGATTAAACTGAACAGCAGAATGTAGATCGTAAGGATGCGCCGAGCATATTTGGCAGGGCGGGGGCAATGGCCTACCCCCCATATTTATTAAGACCTGCACGTCTTTGGTGAAACCTGTACTGCTCTGATTTAAAATCACAACACACAGGATCTGTGGTGCTGTGACCGGCCAGCCCACCAGAGTCATTCTGTCTGCTGATAGCTCTGCATGGTCGGATGAGGAACATGATGTCATTTTACAGCACCAGGTCCCCCCGCCCCCCAAGACACAAACATAAGAACATAAGAGTTCACTCTTAACACTGCTCCTTCACTGTGTCCCCATTTTTCCAAGATGAAAATACCCCCAGATACCCTACGAAACAACCGCAAGAGTGAGTTCACGAACAGCAGGTCGAAATCAAACACCTTCCACAGCCCCTAGATCTAAACATCATCCAGGCTTTATGGGAACTTCTCTAAAGGAGAATGTGGAGTAGATTCCCAGCTCCTGGAGCCTTTCCTTCTTAAAGAATGGCCCAGTAACCAATTACACACAACTCCCATCTTGTATGGCAGCAGTGTCAGAAGGACTGAAGCTGTTCTGAAGGCACAGGGTGTCTCTAACCCTAATTAGGTCCCCAGTATCAAGTGTTTTTTTATTTTTCCCACCCGGTAATTCTTTCAAATACTTAATGGACTAATGCATAAACAGCAGGCCACTAAATAAAAATGTAAGTATTTTTCCTATTACTGTTGCATTTCAGATGCAATAACAGGCGCTGTTAAAGTCTGAGTCACTTTCCCCAGCTGTGTTAAAAGCAGGCCTGTTTTTCATGTCTTGCTGGATGTTTAAAGGTATTGCGGTATTAAAGGAATCGTGATCTTAAAGGGATAGTGGGGGTTTTTTTTTCCTCCCCACACATCCAGGTTGCCCTTCCTGCTGCAGTAGGCCACATGGCCCCTAGCCGACTGTTGTGGTTACTGTACATGGTCCCAGGGGAGGGGAGGGCAGCGCAGGTGCCATGCCAACTCCTTCTTGGGGAACCTGTCGGGGGAACACCCCCACTTTTTTTGACCATGATGGTTGCTGCCAGACAGTCTCATAGCATGGATGTTGACACCTTGGAGAAATGGGCCTACACCACTTGTGGGCGGGGCATTAGTGGGCAGTGGGCGGGGCATTGGTGGGTAGTGGGCGGGGCATTTGTGGACAGTGGGCGGGGCATTGGTGGGTAGTGGGCGGGGCATTTGTGGACAGTGGGCGGGGCATTGGTGGGAAGTGGGCGTGGCCAAATGAGGCAGAATAAACCAACAACAGAACCAGACACGTCCTCACCTTCTAACCCACCTTCTTCATGCCTGTATCACATCCAAGGCTCCAAACGTACATAGATTGAGGCTTTAAGAAGCTCAGTCCCTGGAGGGGTCAGAGACAGGCAGGAGACTGAAGTTATTCACCGGGATTCACAGCCTCAACCACTTCGCAGAAGTTCTCCCCTTTTCTGAAACACACTCTGGTATTTCAACGTTACAGTCTTTTCAACTCATGGGCTACATCACACCAAGGTGATTCAGCTTTGAAAACTAACCATGAACTAAAAGGAGTTTTAATTAAATGTCTTTAACTATTACTCACTCTACCCAAAGTCCTAATAATGTAATAATAACCCAAATCTGTATATTAACTATTACTGCAAACTTAAGTACTTCCATATGCTTTTGCAGACACTTTGAAACTGTAATTCTACTTATACATTCATAAATGTATATCTGCATGGATGACAATCTTGCCATTTGGACTGTAAGTGTAATATATAATAATTTAAGTTACAGCTGGGCATATGATCAGGAGATGGGAAGCACCCCCCCCCTCCCCCACGGCAGCCCTCTTCCTGTTTGCTTATACGGCCTTATGAACACTGCTCTCTTCATTTACCGTGGGCATCCGGGGATATCTATTGACTTATTGAATAGGAGGACCAACCTCACACCTTTTAATGATGTACCGCACCAGCTACACTATCGACTCCTTCAAATGTCCTTCAGATCCCTCTTCCTGTGGCTGCCAGTTTCAATTCCCCCCGCGTCCCACTTACGGGTTCCGCATATCGCGGATATCGGATACCAGTGGACTTCCTAATAGTGTTGCTCTAAAAACATCCATCCTCCTATACATGCACCAGATTTGCTCAGTCGAGGGCCACGGCGTTTAATGTGAAGTCTCAGCTGTGGCTATACTCTGGGCAAAGATACACCACCAGTCCTCCACGGATCACCTTGGGTTGTCCTTACCCTCATGTTCACGGTCCTACCAGGAGACACTTAATGTTGCCATAGAGATTCTCTCCGTGCAGGCATATGATATGTAGAATGAGAGCCTCCTGTCCAACACCCCCAGCTTTCCGTCAGAGGTGCCTTTGTGCTTGTAAAACCTGTCAGACTCAACACAGTATTCTCCTGCAGACATCTTGCTGTCATGTGTCATTGTCTTTCGTTTACGTGTCAGGTCTGCCCTCTAGTGGATATTCTGTGAAACTGCAGCACATTTTCACGGTGCCGTGGAAGACCCGAACGGATTCTTGTTTATGGTAATATGCATGGGCGTAAATCCCGGGGGGGACGGAGGGGACATGTCCCCCCCCATCCGAGGGTTGTCCCCCCCAAAAAAAATATTAAAAAAAAATCACACTCTCTATTGTGAAAAATATATGTATGTATACCTAAAATAATTGTGTAAGCAGAACAAAAAAAACAAACGCAAAAATGCATTTAGAAACAGTTGAGTTCCCCCTCCCCTTCCTCACAGTGGTTTGGCCAACTGCCTGCCTTCCCAGTTCATCTCACCTACTCTACACACACAAGTCAGGGGTGTGGCTGCGGCTCAATTAATGTTGAACTCTAGTAAGTAGGGTATTTTATTCACTTTAAATGAAACGATTCTCTTTAATGTAGTTGATGCAGACTCTTTCATAAATTAGTTGCGGCAAAAATGCTGATTACCGATGTAATTTTCCACGAATCTGCTATACTAGCGATTAAAATATTACTTATCTAGTTAACGTTAGCTTGTTGCATAGTGCACTGCAACTAACACGCCAAAGCCGTTTCCCATGCATTGTTTTATTTGTGACGACTTGGCATAATGTTAACTTAACATTAACGGCCACAATTAGCATATTGTTTAGCTGTGCATTTACTAAATGAGCACTGTGCTACGTCCGAACTGACCCCACTGTATTTTTTTGTATAATCAATTTCTATTATGCATTTAAACAGCCATGTTTAAATTTTATTGTATGTTGATGGCTTGACTGTAAACAACATAACAAACAATGCATAGTTTTGAAGAAAAATCTGCTTTGTCATTGAACCTGAGTAAAACTTTGAAAATAACCATAATGACGCAGTCTCCATGCTACAATGATAATGAGAAGCAAAGTTTTTCACTGTGGGGACATATCTTTATAAGTACAACTTGATTGTATTATTTGTGTCCCCTTGCTCATGAGAAATTTTATATTTATTGTCCCCCCCTACTGTTAAATGAAATTTACGCCCATGGTAATATGTACCTGATGTGATTTGAATTGTTCTTTAATGCACTGATAGTAAAAGCTTGTGCTTCCAATAATCTCTTATGCACGTGACATCATGCCATGTGCAGTAGGTTGAAATCCTTTCCCTCTGTCATAGTGTTGTGGTTCCTCCGGCAGTTAATATTCAAACAGGCTGATTTTGCTTATGAGATTCCCTGCAGATTTTACAAGCCGTCTCTTGTTTGTGTTTCATTCACCAGCCTCTCTCTTTATTCAGCCTTGGTTCTACTTACCTCAACACCAGGCTGGAGCACCAGCGTTACCCTTTGATGGGTAAAAAGTGATTCCTAACCAAAACTTTACCCGGAGAGTGCTTCTCACACTCCTGTCGTCAATGGTTCCCCGTGAACATCACGATAACCACACTGAGAGCCATTGCTACTGTATGGTAATCGGGAAAGGTGGACATACAATATTTCACTGGTGTGACACACATCAGGTGATGGTGGTTGACATTTATGATGTGTTTTTTGGTGGGTTGGGATTTATTTACAAATAAAGGTATGAAAATGTGACGACCGGGTGACACTGCAACCCAAGGGAGGGTCAGCCCTGTCCGATAAGCAGGGTGCTCGTTCATGGGTACAAATCACACCTACTGAGTGTTCCTGTCCGCGCGTGGCGTCTCTCAGGCGTTTACATCGGGTGAGAGTAAGAATCTTGTGGCAGAAGTTGTCAGCGTGGAACAACTGGTTCCCAGACAGCAGTGACAGAATCCAGAGACTCCTGAAAACCTCCAGTAAGACATGCAGTGAACAGCATGGGAACACACACAAGGAAACATGGAAAGCCAAGGACCAATGTGAGAACATTAGCTGGAATGAATAAGCATGACAGGTACACATATAAAACTCAGGTCCAGCTGTCTGACATAACAACCATCATGCTGGTAAGTCACCCCGTGAGCCTGAAGCTCTCTGCAGCCAGAGATGGAGGAACCTTAAAGAATGACAAGTACTCCAAAATATTCCAGGTGCTTTAATGCACAGTACATATATGGTCATACATCTCCAATCATCAACAGCATTTTAAAAACAGTACTCTCCCAATAATAGTGCTCTTCATTTTCCTACTTTCACTGATTACCTATTTAGCTTCCTTCGGCTTGGTAAATGACTTATGATTGTCTTATGAAATTTGGACGAGGGAGGTTTTGTAAAACAGTCACTCGTACAAGCTGTCGTGACATACGTCCCAGGTCAGGATGCGTTTAATCGTTGGAAGTTTGTTCCTCTGGTTCTCGGACGTCGCTGACAGACACAGAGGTGCACGCTGATGACGAGGGGACTGAGTGTAGTACCTCTGCTCACCAGCAGGGGGAAACAGAGGCATGATGTACAGATTCCTGGGGCCGGTTGGGCGTCTCGGCCGTGATACTCCGTAACAGACGGCGTTAGGACACCGCACGCGTGACCGCTGGCACTGTGACCGCTCTCCCCCTCCCTCTCTCTACAGAGGGCTTCTGGGAAACTGCACAGGCGTCTCCCTGCCTGGTACAATTCAAACAAAAAAACCCAATGTTGGGGGAGAGAGAGAGAGAGAACGGGGCACTAGAGAGGACAAGCACATCCAGCTGGACGGCTGGTCAAAGCCAGCTACGGAAGGCCGCAACAAAACAGGAGGAGAGAACTAGCAAGGCACTTCTGCAAAATGGCACCAATAAATAATAATCACAAAAATAGTTAAAATTCTGCAAAAGCTCCAAGCAAACAACTTCCTTTGGCTACCTTCAGTAAGACAATGCCTCCATTCAGTAAACATTAAACACAATGCAAAGAATTATGATTCATAGACTATATTCCTATCATCAAAACAATATGCCAATGGATGAGCACAATATGTAGGTTAACAAAAGTAACACATTTAAAGGAGTCAGAACATTGACTGCTGACGCTATCTTTCCTGTGATGGGCACAAACGTCCCATAAAGATTAAAATTATAACAGCAACCCCCCCCCCCCCCATTTCCAGTAGCTGTAAACCCCTCCTTGTGCTTGTTCTTTTACACGCAGTTGCATTTACAGGGATCTGAGCTGCAAAACCAGCAAAGACTGAATAGATTATGGCTGCATGGGAAAAAATAACATGCAGGTTTATTTCAGATATCAGATACATGAGATCCACCTTGCGGATTATTCCCACCCCATCCACCCGCGAGCGACAGCCGACACATGGCGGCATCACTGGCATGCTGCGTCGTCGCAGGCGTTCTGATCTCAGAACAGTGCTCGTTCACCGTCGAGCCACCGGTCCCCGTCTCTGGCCTTCGTGTCCCGGGGATTGTGGAAGATACCTTCGCTAGGAACCCACCCGTTTTAATTCCCTGTCCCGCTGCAAACGGGAGTCTGATACAGGAGCACAGGAAGTCTGACCTCTGAACACAGGTTCAAGTTGCCTGTCTGCTCATGTGATGTGAGACCCCGCCCACTGCCCCCACACCCCTGCACAGCGTGCCAGGTTTCTGAGAATACTCTGAGAATACTCTGAGAATACTCTGAGAATACTCTGCACTCTCTCCGCATCTGGGCGGGACACGGTGTTACGGTGCCACCCTCGAGAAAGCGGCACCATTCCTAAACACAAAACAGGAACACCTGACGAATCAGCTGCCATGCTCTGTAACTCTCAGGACAGTCACATGACCGCAGATGGCAAGGTCAGCGGGGGGGGGGGGGGGGGGGGGGGGGGGGGGGGGGGGGGTGCTGAGTTCATTCAGCCCCGAAGAGGGAGCGCGGTACCCTGAGGAGTCCGGCTCGACGATTGAGCTAGCAGCGCCCCCTAGTGGCGCATTGGTGCCATGATGCTGTCCTCCAGCGGAGGTTACTGTATCGGAAGGTTAATGGCTAACCAGGTGCACAGCTACGGAACAGGGATGCTTAGCTACCCGGAGCATTAGCCTTCCCCAAACACCAACCAGCGACTGAATGGAGACACTAACGGAGGAACGAGGCAACAAAGAAACTAAGTAGTGAACTATTGTGGTGGAGGGAGGAAAAGAGGTTATTTGTGTTCTTCCCCTCCCAGCCAGCAGAGGGCGCTCCTCAGCAGGCGCAGGTGAAAGCCCCCCTCTCCTCTGTCTGCTTCAGCGGGGCGACGTCCCTCCCGCCGGGAATCTGGCTCAGCACGAGCGGCTTCTGGCTCTTCAGCTTGTGCGCCACCGTCATGAAAATGGCCTCCACGTGGTCGTTATCGCCCGGGCTCTTGGCGGACGTCTCGAAGAGCGGCATGCTGTGGGAGTCGGCGAACTTCTGGGCCACGTCGGTGGGCACCTTGGCCGCCCCGCGCAGGTCGCACTTGTTGCCCACCAGGATGCGGGGCACGTCCTGGCCCAGCGAGTGCTGCCGGCACTCCTCGATCCACGCCGGAAGGCTCTGGAAGCTGGCGGCGTTGGTGATGTCGTAGACGAAGACGATGGCGTGCACGTTGCGGTAGTAGTGCTGCACCATGCTCTTGCGGAAACGCTCCTGGCCCGCCGTGTCCCACAGCTGCACCTGCACAGACGCCAGAGGAACAAACGCCCCAAATCAGCCCCACCCAAACCTCACAAAGCCGGGGTAGTGACCTCACTGTCCTGGGGCATTCAGTTAGTCAGTCATGTTGATTCATAACGCCATGTAAGCAACTAGGGCTATATGCCGAGAAAAAACAGGTATAAAAACAGAGTGAAGAACCAAAAAGGTATAAACTTCATAAATAACCATAAAACACTAGCCCACAAAGCAGAGGCAGAAGGCAGACAGAACTCTACAAGCTCCAAAGAAAAACCTACAAGACCCTCTGACTGCAAACTCAAGGAGGCAATTAACATACCAAGAACCCACCAAGGCCTGGTGTCGGGGCATCGGTTTTTAACTTGAGGGCCACTCCTGCATTGTGCTTCGGCGCCCCCTACTGCCAGCAAAAACAAGGACCCCCCCCCACCACCAACGTCGGTCCAGTGGATAGGCAATGCATCTCTTTTTATTATCTGTTTGTCATTTAATCAAAGTATATGTGGTATAACTTACACCAATATGGGTGAGTTTGGGGGCCAGTGGTCTGTTGTTTGGGGGGGGGGGGGGGGGGGTTCCGTAAATACAGGATGCTGGTGAATTCTATACAGCATTTATCTTCTACCATTTATCTCATATGACAAGTTAATAATAAAAGAATGTTCGTACAAACTGCCCTAGAACCACCGGAAGAGTGAAGAAGACGAAGGATAAGGTAATCTCTAAGAGGTTAGCGTAACCCATAAATCAGGCATTTATAAAAGAGCAAAACAAAAGTCTTATTTCCCTCCCACCACAATCTGGAAGTTTGTCCCGTTGAGCCGTAGGCCGCTTAAGGGTACCGTCGTTCAAACCGGATGTTGGGGGGGGGGGGTCTTTTTGCCAGGAGCCCTGCCACCGCGCATTCCCGAGCCAGATTCCCGGAGCGCTGGCGTCCACGCACGGTGTTCAGGCCGCGGGAATGCTGCGCGCACCCAAACCCCTCGTTTATTCCATCTGCAGCACCGCTCAGATTTTAGGGGATAGACGAGATCTGCATTTTTCTGTAAACTGCTTACGGTTTTAAAAAAAGTTTGTTACATCACTTATTGTTAATCTGCATTTATTCATTATTACCATCACCTGATTAAGCACATGATTTACTTTAAAAGGCTCATGCTTTACCCATGGACATCTGACCGCATCCTTCCTAAAGGTTTTGAAGCAGTAGCCTTCCACGTAGGCACGCTCATCCGGCCCACACGAGCGGCTCGGTTTCCCCTGCTTCTGCACAGCTAGAGATAATAAAAAGTAGAACTCTGCCAGTTTGGGGTCTCTGGCACGAAACAGCCCGCAGCTCGACAGTTGCCAGCACAGGAAACGATTAGCGAGGTAAGGAGAAAAGGGGACCTAGTTTCTGCGTTCACAGCCTCCCTGGTGTGTTTGTCGAGCAGCGCCGGGGGAATCGAAGCGGAAGCCGCGGTATTAATCAGACACCTGATAGGCATTAGCATTTAGGAAGGCGTCCCAGAATAAGAGGGCCACCAGCAGCGAACAGTCCGCGGCGTTCCGGGTGCAGGCGGAGATTCACAGGGGGGGGCTAGGCAAGGTTTGATCGACAGCACTGACGGTTTGATTAACACTCAGAGCTGATGGAGGAAAACCGCATGTAATCCATTCTCCCCGGTGATACAGCTCAGACCAAGCCCAGACTTAAGGAGAACCAGTTTTCTATCAAACCAGCGCTGGGTCCAAAACAAAATCACTAAGGGTGCATCCAAAATTCGTCAGGGGGCAAGACCCTTGCAACCATGTCTCACTGACTTCCAAACAGTTTTTTTTATTAAACGTAATTTTAAATCTTAAATCTATGGCAATCACTATGGTATAATTCGGGACAGGCTTTAAGGCCGTTTGTAAAATGTAGATGAAGATTCATCAAGGATATAAGAAGCACGACGACCAGGCAACGAGTGATGTCACCCTACGGGACCTGAGGTTCCGGAATATGCCATCGGAGGCACGGAGTGAGACACCAGGTTTACCAGAGATGCGGGAGGGTTGGACGGGACTCTGGAGACGGTGCTTGTGAGCAAACGTTAGTGATCAGGGATGGGGAAAGCACAGCAGGTAGCGTGGGCTGTATCGGGAGGGATGCACGAGGGAGGGGAGGCAGTGAAACAGACCGGGCTGTACAAGAGTGCCTAAGGATGCATAACAGCCTCAACAAAAATAACAATGTGCACCTTCGGGTGGAAGTCAATCAGTCCATGACTGCGGCATGTTTGGGAGGATCGTGTCCCTCCATGATGTTGTTCTGCACGCGACTCTGCACGCACACCGGTGCGAACGCCTGCTGACTGACACAGGCGGACACACACGTGGCTTAACAACCGGATGATCCCGTACAAATCAAAGTGATTGCAGTCGAAACAGTTACATCACAGTCGTCCCAGCAGGGAAACATAAATGACTAAAGGATTATAATGCAGTCAGTGAAGATTTCAGTGTTATTGAGCTGAGGCGTGACTTTTTCCATACATTTTGATTGCAATCCGTTATTAGGTATTAATTTAAACGAGATTTTATTATTAATTGGCGATATTACGTTAGTCTGACAAGCTATTCGTGGAGTATTTACATCAGTACCAGAATGTAAGCCCCAGTGCTAAGGGGCGGCTTTACCCACCATTTACAGTTTGTTACATTATTGCATTACTTGTATGATAAAAAAAAGCATCACATTCGCGTCGCAGAGCTCCTACCCCGGCTCCGTACCTTGATCTTCTCGCCGTCTATCTCTATCGCTTTCTCGCGGAAGTCCACCCCGATGGTGGCCTCCGTCTTGTCGGGGAACTTGCCCGCACAGAAGCGGTAGGTGAGGCAGGTCTTGCCTACCCCGGAGTCGCCGATCACTATGATTTTAAAGATGCGGGAGCGGGGCGGAGGCAGGGAGCCGGTCAGCTCGACGGAGGTCTCCATCTCGGGCACAGCAGGGCGACGGGCGGACCTAGGCTCGGCTAGCAGACTGTAATTACACCGTCCGATCAAGGCGGCTTTGAGAAAAAGCCTCGAACGCTCCGCCACCCAAACCGTATAAATATGTCAGAAGTTGCTTATTATCTCCGCTGCGTAAGTGGTACTAAATGTGCCGAATCATGGGGCTGGGGAGCGTCCTGTGCAAGCAGCCGCCTACTCGACGCGCTCCGCTGCGGAGTCCCCGGTCATGTTGGGACGGAGCCGCCACGCACCCAGTGAGCCGCGCGAACTCTCGCGAGAACTCCGAGCTGCGCCGCAGGTACGAAGTCCAGGGAGCTGCGGAGCGCGCGGATCAGTCAAGTACGACCCGCTTATCTGCATTACTTATTGCATGTGTGCTTAGGACTGGAGAGAGATTAAAAAAATCTGGGGACCCTCAAGATAAATTTTGCCGCTGGTGGAGGGAGGTCCCCATGATGAATTTCCCAGAGCACCCCAGGAATGGGTGGGATTGGGGTATCACCCATGATAAATTTTACCAGCCTATAAGCATATTGACCCACCGGGAAAGTGCGAAAAGGCCAGTCCAGCCCTGGTGTGCTTTATGAATAACTAGCGCCCGTCAGGGTGTAGCTTAAGCAACGCCCTGAGTTATGCCTAAATTATCTCCTGCTTCGTGGAATCAAATCAAGGCTCATCACAACGCAGCCACAAGTGAGCAGTTATGGGTATTGGAAGGAAGGAAGGAAAGAAGAAAGGAATGAATACAAGTGATGAAATGTATTTCTGCAATTTTAATTGTATGTTAAACAAACGATAAACCTTGGATGTAACGCTAATTGTTGTTGATAGTAACATCCCGTGACCTGGCTTTGAGGAGACTGCACTCGACAAGAGCAGGACACGTCTTTAATACAGTCATTTCAATGTTCATTTACATTTGCAATAAATTTGTTGGAAAAAAAAAAACAATTTTTAACATTAAAGGCTGTCAGGTACAACTCAAATGTCATGTCATGATACTCATGAAATTATCCTAAATCGCATAAGTAGTCCATCTAATTATGTACTTGTGCCTCTTCTACACCCCCGTGAACAATGGTAGAAACGCAGTCTACAGAATACAGCCACATACGTTTTCATTGCTGAATGCTAGATGTCCATTGGAATCTTTATCGACCAGTGATCCAAGAATAGGGATGAAACTTAAAAGAATGACATTCTCACGTGTTGCTCCTTTACCTGCAGTGGACACTGTTGAATTTGAGCTCTTTATGCCCTTCAAGTACGCACGACTTACAAAAAGGTTTCTGTTGTACGGTTAACGGAATCAGTGAACACTCCAGAAAAATCGATGTTAAGCCATTTTAGAAGGATTCTGTTTCCCCCCCCCCCCTTGTGCCTCAGAACACAATTAAACTGCCTCTCTCTGCAAAAGGAAACTCAAAACGTCAGTGTCTGAAAGAATCACAGGCTTTCAGGAGCAGCACGACACACACATCGAACACAGAGGACGAACGATGACCACTGGGGTTCTGCGATTAAGACCCTCCCCCCTCAGAAGACAAGAGTGAAATATTCAGGCGGAGAGGGCTGCTGTCCGGATGCTGAACTGGGTCATGTGCTTCCTCTAAAAACCTATTGTGTGGCTCTCATACTCTGTTGCTAGATGGTGTCCCCACCATGGCACGGAACTAACAATATTGTAGAGTTAAATGTCAAAGAAGTGCTGCCTTTAATGTAGGTCTGTCGGCGCCATGGCAGGACTCATTGTGGAATCCCTCTGCTTAGCAAGATTTGTCGTGGCGAAGCCAGAAGTCTAGGCCCGATTTTTAATCCCAGTCCAAGTACATTTTAGAGTCTGACGCATCAACACCTAGTCTGCATTTACGTGATTTTCATTAAATGTATCCTTAGTGAAGTAGTATCTGAACAGCATTTCATCCTCGAGTTACGCTTAATCATGCTAACTTATTAACATCTGTGCTCTTTTTTGTGAATCTTGCTTTCAGTGAGGCGGATTTCCCAGAAGTGTGCCTGCCACAGGACTTTTGTCTAAATGAAACAGAAGAAGAACCTTTAAAATAGGGTTATTCAACTCACAGTCCTCAAGGGCCGAGTCCTGATGGTTTTCCAGCCTTCCTTCACATGTGAGCCTGGTGTGAAGCCTCTGACCAATCAGAATCAGTGATTATTAAGCTAACTACCTGGGAGAACTGAAAACAAGGCCTGGATTTGGAATCGAAGGCCAGGTTTGAAGAGCCCAGTGGGCTCAGCCTGGACCCGACCAGTGGAGCCGCTTATGGGTCCACTGACACAGTATGTTGAGAGCTCTATGGTGGAGCAGTGTGATGAGCATGGAGAGCAGGGCTTAAGCTGGATGGTCTCATGGCTGCAGATCCTCCTAAGGGAGTTCATGACGACCGACAGTTTGGAACACAGAATCCCGGGTCAGAACAGGCTTCACTGGGGTAGAAAAACACCTGGCATGTCTAAAAGCTAGGCTCTTCTTTAGATAGACCAGCTCCTGCTGCTTCAGTGAGATGTCTGGACAGCGCTATTATCAGTCTGTAGCTAGAAGGGACAGCCCCATACTTAACCATGCTGGTTCAAACAGAAGGAGACTGGGTAATGGGCTTCCTAATTCAGGTGATAGATTTTACAGGAAAATGCTGCATTACATGCTCTTAAGTACGAAGCGACATTCAAGCGAGGAAAGCCGGTGGTCAGGGTGCAGGAATAATCCAGGTCTCCATGGGACGGGTCCTAAATCTGGTTCTCCCTCCCCAGAAGACTGGCCGCTGTTCCCCGATTGGTGCTTTATCCACGTTACCTTGTCTTTTAATTCCCTCGTTTCTCTTCCGGCTCAGAAAATGTGGCCCCTGCCTGTTGGCCAGAAAATATTCACTGGACTACAGGGGCCCCAAACAGACTTTTCGAGCGGCGCCCCAGAAAGAACAAACCCGTCCCGGCGGCCGCCCGTCACGAGGAATGGCGCCGCTCTGCAGAGTGAAGAAGCAGTCGTCCACGCAGGAGGTTGTCAAAACAGCTTTATTGCATCTCGTGTTTGATACCTCTTACGTGCTCGAGAGTGAGGCTAGTGAGCTCCACAAGAGAAAAGGAGGAAGCCGTCTCGGAACAATAAAAATACAATTATTATAATTATATATTTACTAATCACCCCCCATTTTGAAAATGTACAAAGGGTGGGGTTTCTCTTGAATTTCTGAACCAGAAAATCCATTTCTTTAGTCCCCCCCCCCCAAACATGGGGCATATAGGTATAACAAACTTGGTGTTTGTGAAAGATCCAGAGGTATATCTTTCTGACTGTACAGGGTGGCACCTTAGAGGGCGGAACCAGCGAACACCCAACAGCACCTCCTACTGGTCAATGGGGGACACGCTCTGCTCAGTCCTTAGGTGTGTGATCTCACTCAAGATGGCTGATACCATGTCTGTTTGTGTCAGGGAGGGTCAGTATTAAAAATCCATGAATGCCCTGGGGGGGTGTTTCATTTCTAGACCCAATACATGATCTGATATGTTTCGGGGATGATCCTGGGTGAGAGATATATATGAATGCATGTATGTAACAGTCAAACTAAGAAGATATGGCGGACATCATAAACCATCACATGTTCAGCTGCCCGGAGGTGGGACAATCCAAAGAGCGGACCAGACGTACCTCACACCTGTGGTCTTTGACCTCCACCTCTGTTTGAGAGAGCCAGCCATCTGCTGGCTGCTTTCCTGAGGAGCACCATAGTGGAGCAGCCCACCAATCAGCAGGATGAGGACTCACCCCCCCACCCCCCCAAACAAAGAGCCTTTCCACACAGTTTACTTAAAAAACTTGGGAAATAGATACTGGAACACAGCCGATGCAGCCGCTATTGGCTCATCAGAGAACACCAGCAGTGGTTCAGTCTCAGAGATGCTTTTAGCCATTTTTGTTCAGTTAGAGAGCTGATGTCAGCGACATTAGAAAGGTAAAATGGCTATTTTTACTCTCTCTCTCTTCCCCCCTCTTTCTCTGCCTTTCCAACACACTCCTAATCCAGGTCACAGCCAGCACTGTAGGGGGCGACGGAGAGCCGGGGCGGTGCTGCTCAGAAATGGTGGTGTCTTCCCTCCTCGTCCGCTAGCCCATCTCCATCCGCAGATGCCTCATGCCCCCCCCCCTCACATCTCATTGGCCAGCTCCTCGTTCTCGGCGCTTACGTCCCCATTGACGCCGGCCTTCATGGTCTCCTCATACCCCGGTGGCATGAACGCCAACGTGTAGGGGAACAGCTTTTGGCACTCTGCCCGGTAGGCCTCCGCCTCCTCCTTGCTATTGCCCAGGCTTCCGTTGCGTAAGCTTTCTAGCACTTCTGTGCAGATCTGAGGAATAAGGACAAGGAGGGCGCCAGAGTTAATGAAGTGTCATCCTTGCTTGCCAGCCATCTGTGCTTCAGAACCTAGTGACCTTCAGTGGGAACTCTATTCAAGTTCAGCATCACAGGTGGGACCAAGACTAATCCCCATGGTGGGCACAGTCAAACATAGAGCTGAACATGTACCTGGATGCTCCGGTTGCTGAGGGACTCATCCAACGCTATGGCCAGCTCAACCGCCTTCTTCTCCATGGAGGAATCCAGGTAGTACATCATTTTGGCAGCTGTGAGACAAAAACAGAGCAAAAACTCACTCACAAAGACTTCAACAGATATATTCACACAAGCCGAACTCAACACAGAGCCTACAGAACTCCTGAACCCAAGAAACGATGACCTTGTATGGATGAGAGCGCCTACCTGCTAATCTGTGAGGAATGGAGTCCGAGTGCTTGCTGAGGAAAGCCTCGTTAAAGCTCTTGGCGTCGCAGTTGCCGAACAGCCTGGCGATTTCCTGTCTCAGCACCAACTGCACTCCTTCTGCTAAGTCTTTACTCCGGGACACTGGGATCAGGAGTATGATGGTTCATGTGGTCATTGGTGTACATTCCTCAAAAGTGTTCGACTCACATGAGTGACTTGGCTATTTTAACAATCAAGGATATCTTGTTAGCGAACTATCGAAGTTAGTACTAAATGTTTGTTCTAAAAACCAAAACATATCTTTTTAACCGTTGACAAGTGACTCTTCTACCATGGATTGCTCATCCTTGAAGGCCTTGGAATAGCATTTCTGAAAACGATAGAGGGGGTTGCTGAAGGCTGAAGTCTGTGCCTATGGTCTTTATACGGAAATTTACTCACCTGCTCTAAAGAAACGTACTAAACACTGGTGGAGCCAAGGGTGCTCAGGATCTATGGTGAAGGCCCTCTTCACCGACTGCAGCATCAGCAGGAACTTCTCTGCAGGCAAATGTGACGAATGAGCATCAGAACCATCCAGCTTAATCCTCTTATCGCCTACTGATGGTCGAGTCAGCTCAGGAGGTCATTGAACACCCTCGCACTTCATAAACTTTGCCGAAATTAACATGATAAAGGGTTCTCAACACTCTGCATCTTGATGTGCTCACCTTTTCTGAAGTAGATCTCAAATGCCAGCAGATGCGTATCTATCTTATTCTTCATCAGGTTTTTCAAAGGAGTTAAGAATTTAACGGCCTCCTCCAGTGGATTTTCTACCTGTTGAGACAAACACTGAGGTTTTTCAGTAATTACCTACGTAGTACGATTATTCTGGCACCTAATCCAGCACGTAGTCATAGTGAACCAGGAGCTTATCACAAGATCAACAGCGCACATGGCTGGGGATTCATAAGATTAGACGTTGATCGGTCGCAGGGCACCCACCCGTAGACAGAACCACACACCACAGGCGATTCAAAGACTTCGATCCACATAAACCACCTTTGGACTGAAAGAGGACCTTATGGAAACCCACCCAAAACATGGGGATAATGTGTACACAGAAATCAAACCCACAACCCAGATGCTCAAAGTGACTCAGACTGCCACCTAGTGGGCTTTCTTGCCAGGGGCACCATCTCACTCGTAGGCGTACACCTCACCTTCGCCAGCTTCTCCGGCACCAGCTCCTTTTTGGGGCTGCCGATCTCCTCGTCATCCTCTTCCTTCTTCTTTTTCTGGTTCTTAAGCTGCTTCTCCTTCTCCACGTTCTTCTTCTCCTCCTCCAGCTGCGCCTTCTTCTGCGCCCGCCGCTGCTTGTTCCGCAGCTTTTTCAGCTCCTTGTCGGTCAGGTTGGCTGCACGTGGCACACGGGCGATTCGTATTCAGCAAATCTCACCTCCCCCGTTCATTCCTTGGGTTGAGGGGCATCGTAACGATCTCAAAAACTAAAGTAGGGCTGGGCGATATCATATCGACATTACTAAACTAAAGACTATCGTGTAAAACACTGTTCCATAGCTTGGAACGGGCTGTACTTCGTAGAATTTTCGCTACCAGGGTTCATTTACAAATTTCAGTCCTCTAAAACGGTGGTTTTCTACCTTTCGTTAACCATCCATCCATCCATCCATCCAATTTCTGTAACCACTTGTGCTATTCAAGGTTATGGGCGCAAGGCAGGGAACAACCCAGGATGGGGCGCCAACCCATCAAAGGGCACACTCACACACCATTCACTCACACTCACACACCATTCACTCACACTCACACACCATTCACTCACACTCACACACCATTCGTTCACACACACATACCTATGGGCAGTTTGGTAACTCCAATTAACCTCAGTGTGGTTTTTGGACTGTGGGGGGGAAACCGGAGTACCCAGAGGAAACCCCACGACGACACGGGGAGAACATGCAAACTCCACACTCGTGGAGCCAATACAGAAACGCGAACCCTGGTCCCAGAGGCGTGGGGTCGACAGTTTTAACCACCACAGTCTCTGTGGATCCTCCGCACCTAATCTACCACCCCGAAGTGGGAAATTCCTACTCAGAAAGACCTGAATAATGTCAAAATGCTCAAATGAATATCTAGACCAGTAGAAATATTCTACTTAAGATACGGATGCCTTGGAAATTCATCTATTACCTGCTGTGGCATGTATTAAATCAACAGGAGGGCCTGGATTGGTAGGTTCTGGCCGGTCAGATGTTCTTCTGGCTAGACTCACCAATGTCGGCCTTCAGCTCCTTGTTGTCGTCGGCTAGCGGGTGGTCGTGCAGGCCGAGGTAAATCTCGATGGCCGTCCGCGAGGCCTTGTAGTAGAAGGGGTGCATGCGCAGCACGTCCTCCAGCTTCAGTAGATCCACGTAGGAGCGTAGGGTCATCTTCCTCATGCAGTACGTGTGGAAGTCGAACTGGTCGTCCGTGATCTCCACAAAGTGCTGGGGGAGGAGGGGGACGCAGTGAGCAGATAGCATGTGCCGGAACGGTGGGAGTGGAGGCGTTGGGGGGGTGGGGGGCTTACCCTCTCGATCTCGTGGCACTTCTTGAGCGCCTCGCCGTAATTCCTCGTGGACCTGTAGGCCACAGCACATTCTGCCTGGAACCACATGCACTGCATCTCATTCAGGTTCTCCATTGCCGAGGCTCCTTCCTGGGGAGACGCGGGGAAGGGGGTTCACCAAGTCAGATGGGGGTGTCCTGTAACGTGCAGGTCCCCTTCATTCGATTCAAACATGCCAGAGAGAACCTCCCCCCTAGAGGACGTACTGAATCTAAGGACTTTATATCCGGGATCCACATATCGACATTTTCTGCTTTTATATAGTGCTGCACGATATCATATCGCAATATATATTCATGATTATATGGTGCATGCACAATAATCACCAGAGATTTAGATGACGGGCGTAAACATTTGTCCGGACGCCGGCTTTTCGGTACTAAACAGACGTTTACTAACGCCCACAATTTGGTAAGGAGATTAGTACTGTGCCTAAAATATTACTGAGATGCGTATCGTGATGCCCAAAAGTCAGTTGTCTGTATAAATTCGGCGTATCCTTATGTTTATTAAATTCATTTAGTGGTGCACGCCACGTGTGACTGTTTTGGTAAATCATGGGAGCGATAAGCACTGAAGTCGCGGTGAAGAGAGGAGCAGCTCAGCAGCCACGTCTTAAAAGAGGAGATATTGTAGATAAACAAGGTGTTGTGGTGGTAGTTTTTGCAGCTTAAAGTCTGACGTTTGTTAAAAGGATACGCCGAATTTACACAAATCGCTAACTTTTGGGCGTTATAATACGCATCTCATTAATATTTTAGGCACAGTACTGATCTCCTTACCAAATTGTGGGCGTTAGTAAACGTCTGTTTAGTGTCGATAAGCTGGCGTCCAGAGAAATGTTTGCGGCGATCATCTGAAGCCCGGGTGATCCTTTCGCATGCGTCATATAATGAGGGCGTCCCTCACCCGCGTGAACTTGGAGCACATCTCCTCGGCTTCCTTCACCATGCCCGCCTTCAGCATGTACTTGCCGCACTTGGAGTTGATGAAGCGGTCGGCCGTGTCCAGGGCCTGGGCCTCGTCCATCCACCGCACCGCTTCCCGGATATTCCCCGCATGCTGGGGGGTGGCGGAGGTCAGCGGGATACAGACACCCCCACACAAAGCGCCAGAAAGCAATGCCCCCCCCCTGTAAATCCCATCCATCTCATTATCACCTTGTAGATTTTGGCTTTGACCACGAAGAGCTCGATGAGAGTGGGTGTGCTCTCGATGGCGGCGTTGATGTAGTCCAGGGCCAGACCTTGCTGGCCGCTCTGGTTATAGTGCTGAGCCAGGAAGTATTGCACCCACAGCAAAGTGGTGGGAGGCTCCTCCTTCCCATCATCTGTGGGCAGGTTTTAACCAATCAGATTCCTCTGCCTACTGCAGGTCTTAACCAATCAGATTCCACCGCCTACTGCAGGTCATGACCAATCAGATTCCACTGCCTACTGCTCACCAGGCCAAAGTACAGCTGCATTCCAGTAATACCAGTAAGACGGAATGACCACCAAAACCTCACGATTCCCCCTAGTTGCTGTCACACAAATCCTTCTCCTGTTTCAGTCCCTAGCGCATGGATCACAGTACTGGATCTGTAGTTTCACAATCCAGGGGGAATTTCACCAACATCAGATCTATTTATCCAGACTACACTTGATGTCACAGTGTAGCGTCGATATACAGACGCTCCCCAGGTTACTATGGTCTGTGTTACGGTATTTCGACTTTACGATGGGTAAATGTTTTTCACTTTTAGTACATTAATCAATAAATTATATGAGATATTTAACACATTTTTTTTTAGAAATTAGTGTTGTTGATTTTGCCCAACTGTAGGCTAATGTGAGTGTTCTAAGCATGCTTAAGGTAGGCTAGGCCTTGATGTTAGCTTAGGTGTACTGTATTAAAATGCATTTTCACTTTACGATATTTTTCTCTTACAATAGGTATTACTGGAACGTAACCCCATCGTAACCCGGGGGGGGGGGGGGGGGGTGTGTGTGTGTGTGTGTGTGTTCTAGGTACACTTAGTACAACTTAGAACTTAGTACACTTGTTTCATTACATCAAGTGGCACCTGAAAATGTGTGACCCCACATTTGACCCCATTAACAAAAAAGGTCAAACTCACCATTTTGATGAAACATCTGACAGCGTTTTAAAGACAATTCATAGCCGACCACTAATTCTTCAATTATAGACACCTGCAGATGCAACACAGAGCATGTGATCAGTCTCTGGAAACACAGTTAACAGTCATAAACGCAACACAGTGTTCCGCACACAATCACAGAAATGCTTTACTTGAGATCAGACATGATGCCACCTGCCATTTTCCTCACAAAGGGTATCATTAAATGGATGGACAGTAAACAGATCCTGACACGCACTGTGAGGATGGATGCGAGTGGTCAGTTTGCAATAATGGACGCCCAAAGTACCTTCTCCTCGTCGGTGTACAGCGACTTCAGGGTGGTAAACACAGGGGAGCATCCTTTGCTGAAATTCATTCTTAAATATTTATCCAGGCAATCCCTAAATTTCTCACCTACAGCAAACAAGAGAACTGTTAATTAAATCCCGATAGTCTATTACCAGGATGTGAGAAGCAGGTTTTAACCTAATCGTATCCCACGATTCCACACCACCTGCCCCCAGCTGCGTGTCAACAGCCAAGCGTGGCAACCTGACCTAAACCGAACATGAAGCGGAGACGTCATCACGAGGGTCTACCACCACTACGACAGTGCATTCAAATGACGATCAACGCTGTCATGGGAGTGGTGTGTAGCTCTTCTTTGGCTATGTCTAGAAGTTCGTCGGTTCAAATCCCAGAGTGAAGTCACCATTGGGCCCCCGAGCAACCCTCAACTGGTCCAGGGACTGGGCTGCCCCTGGTTTCTCAAAACAACGTACGTCGCTTTGGATAACATTGTCAGCCAGATGAACAAAATCTAACTTGTCAATTAATCATCCAAGCTGTACAAATGCACGAACCAGCCGGTCATTTCACAGAACGTTGTCAGACGGTGTAAGCGCTACATGACGCGTGTATCTAACCACATGGTCCTGCTAAGCGGCTTTCCAACACATTTCCTCTCCCTATTAAGTACAGAAATGATCTAATGAACTCAATATTTCTCCAGTGGAATGTGTTTAATAGACACGACTATGCACTCCACTTGGCACGGAAACCGCGCCATGTTATAGGAGCGCGCGCAGACATGACCTCTGACCTCTTAAGAAGTTTAGCGGGAGTCTCCGAGACAACAGGGCTTTGGGGAACTTCACCCAGGCGTCCTCGTAGATCTTCTGCTTCTCCTCGAGGGTGGCTGCAGGGACGAAACGAGCGTCAGCCAATGTGCTGACCGCCGAAACGCATCCATCCATCCATCCATCCATCCATCCATCCATCGCTTGTGTTTTACTTACACAAAAATGTTCTGAGGGCATAAACGATAAAATGATTGGGTCAGAGAGATGACCAATCACATTACAGAGGAGGTGGGTCCACGTGACTAGAGGAGGCGGAACCAACCAATCAGATGTCCTGGTCCTGACTCCTCTAGTTCCTTGGCTGTAAATAAAACTCCCCATCATCCATGCATCCATCCTTTATACCCGCTTGTTCTATGCATGGAAGCTACAGGCGCAAGGCAGGGAACAACAAGAAGGTCCATCCATCCATCCATCCATCTTTAAAATTTTATCCAGTACAGGCCTGCAAGGGGCCTGAAATCTACTCCAGGAAGCCCTGTGCGATAGGCCAGCGGACAGCCTTGGCGGAGTGAACCACGTACCCGGCCTCAAGGCCTTCTCCAGCCCGCGGTAGTAGGACCAGTTCTCTGGATTCCGCTCCTGCAGCTGCCGGTACACCTCGCCCGCCTCCTCCATGCGCTCCAGCTTCAGCAGCAGCTCCCCTGTGGAAATAGCGCCCCCTACCTTGTCAAATCCTGCATGATTTCAGTGAAAAGCAAAAGAAAAAAACAAAACCCCCTGAAGTTCAGGTTGAGCTACCCTACGCACCTTTGGTCTCCTCGACGGCCAACTTGTCGCAGATCTGCTTCTCATAAGTGCTGAGGTGCTCTAGCGCCTCCTTGTGGAGACCCGCCTCACGGAGGACTTGGTTCTGGTAGAGCAGCAGCTCGCTGTACTCGTAGTCCACTTTGTCGGGTGACGTCTGTGACACAACAAGCCGGTGGGGGGGGGAGAGAGATCAGACTTTATTATAAAAAATTAATTCAATAAAAATTTACTCTTTGGTAAAGTTCTTCAGAGTGACTGTATCTGGGTAAGTTTTAAAACCCAGGTTTTTACCACCTGAGAGTATTTATAACAGGCAGTATCACTGTGACATCTGTGCCTCCCGCTGCATTGATGCAACTGGGCAGTAGGTGGTGTAACGGTTAAGGACTCGATCAATCGTATGCCAAGTGCTGCCATATACCAGATGTCACTATACTAGTGCTCCAGGAGTGAGGCACTTAACCAGAAATGATGATCAGTAAATATAGACCCAGCAGGATATACGGTTCAAGAGTCTAGTGAGGATTAATTGGTAAGATAAGCAGCTAAATTAAGTTTGTCACAAGACCTCCGCAGTCTGGCTGTAATCACGGACGGCGAGTTTAAAATGCCAAAACTCCTTGTTTTTCAGATGTGATGCAAACGAGCAACATGACAAACAATTCCAGGAAGCTTTATTTGAGGGGGGGTAAATTGGGCGTCCACTGCATCGTGGCCACCGGGGCGGCGAGGTGGAGCAGTCACAATACCTATTCTGACCTTACAGCTTCCTCCCTCTGGGGTTGTTTCAGAAAAGGCAGTTATAAATATACCCGAAAGGCTGGCTTAAAATACCCAGCTGGCAGAATTAAGAGAACAGGGGGCAATTATCTGAGAAGGACTGGAGGGGGGTCGTCGGTCGCGGACCGCCCACACCCCCGCACGGGCTCTCGTGTCCTTTTCACTGCATTGAGAGATGAGGGTAGGGGGCAGTTCTGACCCGCACGCCTGGGAAGGACACTGAGACCTGGCTGGAGAGTCACCTGCTGCGTTTTCCTGAACTCCTCGATGATCCTGGAGGCCATGTCGTGGTCCTCCAGCAGGTGGTACGCGATGGCGTAGCCGATCCAGGAGGCCCTCTGTGCGGGCCGGAGCTGGAGCAGCTGGTACCGGGTCTCCTGGTGAACACAGGGCACGGGCAAGGGCCTGAACGGGCGCAACCCACACACTGGGGCGATTTGCGGATATAAGACCAAGGCTGGAGATATGTGCAGGGATGCTACCCCCCCCCCAAGGCTTTAGAGAGCAGAGAACGGGAAGATGGCGTTTGGGGATGGGGAGGGCAGTGGGTGTCTGCCGCTGAATCACACTGCCAAGGCCTGCCAGCAGGGGGCAGGAGACCCTGACGGCTCCATTACACACACACACAGACACGCACACGGCAGCTGGACCATCTCCACCAGTGAAACCCCGCCCCCTTCCCAGCAGGAAAACGCCGCAACCTCAGATATTTACAAGAGAATTCTGACATGTTAAGGGCTTCACTCAATGTCCTGATGGCGAAATGACTACTCCGCTAGTTCATGGGATTCAAACCCACAACCTTGTGGTCATGAGAATGGGTCCCTAGTTCAGTAAGCTACACAACACCACAAGCAAGCCAAGCAAGGACTGTGACTTCGTTCTCCAAATAGTTATGATTGCAAGACATTTAAAGCTGATCAATGCGGTTCATCCAGCAGCAGCCAGAGGGCAGCAGAGAGCACCTTCAGGTGATCACCCACCCTGTAGCCCTCCAGGTCCCTCATCTGGATCTGCAGCAGTGACAGGTCCCTCAGGATCTGGAGGTTGTCCTTGTCCCACTTCAGGGCATTCCTGTAACATTTGATGGCTTCGTCGTACTTCTTGTCCGACCTCTGCAGCAAGCCATAGACGTGCCAGCCTGGGACGGTAGTGGCGTCAAGGAGAACTCGGCCTAATATCACCAAGCACCGGACAAGCGATGTGCTATTCAACAGACAGGGAGCGGGCAGCTCCACAGCCAATGAGGTGCCAGAGAAATCACCAGTGGGTGGTGACAGACATTTCGGTCTTCCAATCCGGGGAGCTGCTGCTGAAAAACTGAAACAGACCACAACGACTGCATTTTTCATTCTCAAAACTTCCCGGCGTGCTGGGGGTGACCTGCAGGTGGCGCCAGATGGGCAGGATACAGACATGACTCTTCAGGTCATTGCGAAGCCCCCGTCGAACCAGGTCATAGGCCTCCTCCTTCTTTCCCAGGCAGCTGAGGGTCAGCCCCTTCATGGCCAGCGTCTCTGTAAAACGAGGGTGCAGCAGGGGGTGTTGAGGAGGCGGGGTTACCCCGAGCAGAGCCTCCCTGGGCACCGGTATGACCGTAAAGCCTGTCAGCCACCCAGGGGTCAAAGTGACCCCTGACCTTCACTGACCCCATAATGCTCTTTACTACCGGGGGGGTCTGAACGCCTCTAAAAAAAATTAAAAATGGGAACAAAATTGTGCAGACCAAATTTGTGGGTAAGCACCATATCAAAGCCACACACACAAGACAAAAAAATACACACAGATAGCTAACGTTGAAGCTCGCTATGATTTATCTATCGATAATTACCAATAATACCTGGAATATGTTTTGTACATTTTGAGTACTTAATGTGCGCTGTGTATTCATGTGGGATTCTCTGAAGATCAGAGACATAAAACTGCCCTGCAACTTTCAGGCTATCCCTAGAAGTAAAATTACTAAAACTAAAATGCACAAAAACTAAATAGAAAAATATCTTTAAAATAAAAACTAATAGAACCCATACTGAAAACTAAAACTAAACTGGATTTCAATTGAAAATAAAAACTAAATTAAAATGATAATGGTGCCCACCCAGAAAAAAAGAGGAATTTATGAAATTTAATAAGGAAAAATGAATCTGAATTATACCACTGTGCAGAAAACTCAAGTTTAATCCATAGGATGTGAGTGACACGATAGGGAGGACAGGAGATGTGGCATTAAGGCAGGGTGGGAGTGAGCTGGCTCAGAGCAGCGGGTGGGGTGGACCCCCCCCCCCCAGGGAGACGTCGTTAGGCCGGGACAGCGGGGTGCCCTTGCTTACCACCATGCTCGGTGAACTTGGGGTTACACAGGATCTGTTTGCAGAACTTCAGGCCGTTTCTGTACTGCTTGTGCTCGTAACACCTCTGGGGACAGAGACGGGGGGGGATGGGGGTCAGGGAGGGTTATGGCGCTAGACGGGAGATACACAACAGTCGACAAGGACAGGGACTGATGCATTGTCATTGTATGAGTCTCCTATCAAAAGCAGAAGTGACTCACTGAAAGAAATCACAGTATATTCGTCAGAAGTTGTTTAAATTACGAGCAACCAATTTTTTTTCAAGGTTTCGCCGGGCCACACAAAGCCAGGATGCAGCATTTTCAGACAGAAAGAGCTAAACCGACCAACTCAGCAACTGTATCTCGCGGATGGAACAGGAATGCTGTTTTTTCAGGGTCTTTGTTTTGTACTAGAGGTGATTGTGAACACTCTGAAAAGCTGGGCACTAGGAGTAAGTTTCAGCATCAAAAAAAAAAAACAAAAAACAAAAATGCAACAATGACTGCTAATGCATATCTGCCTGTTATCTGCAGAACTTCAAGCAGACATGGAGCAAAAATCGTGACCTCAGTCCGGACTGAAAAAAACATAACAGAAGCTGACCTCAGCTGGTCCTGACTTCTGTGGGTGGCAGGGGACAGCATCCGCTGTTATACACGCCTCTCAGCGACACTGCAGTCATGGCAACATGACAACACCAACCAGTTTGAGTACCTCTCCTTATCCCCAAGTTATCCTAAGCAGTGTTGTCCTGGCAACAGACCCTAGATGCACTAAACCCAAGATCTACTTAGTGAATGTGAGCGCATTTATCAGTAATACTTAACTGGCATATAACTCAGGGTAACCCATGGCCTTACATCCACAGGGTTGTGGGTTCGATTCCTGCACCCGACTCGGTGTGTATTGAGTTTGCATGTGTGTTTTGGTGTGTATTGAGTTTTCATGTGTCTATATGAGTTTCTTAGTTTCTCCCACGATTCTAAGATATAAAACCATGAACTGGCCCCCAAAGTGTGTGTGCACTGTGATGGATTGGCCTCCCATACAGAGAGTTCTCCATTCTGCACCCTGTGTTTCCTGGGATAGGTTCCAGGTTCCGGTAAGAAGGTAACTGAACGTTACAGTAAATATTCTTCTGGATGTTCTGCAGAGCCAGTGTAACGGCATTTCTTGCCTTACTACGAGGTGCTGTCGAGTAGATGTTTACTGCTGGCGACCTTGCAAACACTACTCCTCTAGGATATCTTGTGCCCTGTCTGGTTTTTCAAGTCTTCCAGTGGCATCATCACTGTTGTGATAATTGAGTCCATCCACTTTCTTTTCCAAGGAATTTGCGCTTTGGTCCTCGCATGATTTACGGAGGAGGCAGTCGATCGTTTCCCCAAAGAGCTTTTGAAGTTCCTGTACTTCGGCAAGGAAATCTGCCGCTCTAATAGGAAGCACGCTTCACTGCTCCCGGTCCGGAAGCCGAGAGACCAAATGTGTCACTGGCACGTCAAACTGCTGAGCTCCTCGCAGCGGAGTTCAATTATCGTGGTGCGCTTCTCGAAGCTGCCCTCTGAGATTACTTCCGAAGCTGTATTAGTTAATCACATGGAAACCTGCCTCCTGAGATCCTGCATCCCTCTGTGCTTCCAGTTATGCCGGTGATCACATCCCTTTTAAACTACCCTCGACAGCGTATCAAAAGTACAAGAGACAGCCTGCCAAATATGGATGTTAGAGGTGCATGGACATTCTTTGGCTGAGATGTAAGAATGCTCACTCAAATACAGAAAAAACATCAGAAAATGATCGCTGGGTGCATGGTCCACATTGCACACGTCACTGAAGTGTCCCCGTGCAGTCAGGTGACCCGGGATCAAATCCGAGATGGGACCGTCTTGCTGATTACTCCTGGCATAGCCTTAAATACACCAGCTTTAAATACAGGTTCTTCAGCAAACTTGGACAAGCCAAAAACCTTACTGTGGGTTTGTGTGCGTTTAAATGTGCACCACAAAACTACAAGTATGATCTCTAATTTTTCATCATTTCCTCCTAACGTGGAAAACAGTATCTGACAGCGTCAGGAGACCACAACCGACACCTTGGACCACAGGAGGCGGAGCGGCATCTGCCTGCTTGCAGTCGGGTTGGACTTGGAGGCATCCAGTCCAGACCAGTCTGTCTGGGACTCTCAACCTGCTTTTTTTTTTCCAAATGTTGCCAAAACATTTAATACGGCACAAGACATCCCAAGATCTATGCAAGTTAATTACTACTGAATGACCTAAAGTTAAAGAGGGTGGTGTTTAATGTTTCCTGTCCATCTGCAAACAGGTAACAAGTTGACCAACTAGTTCCGCTTGGCTGTCAAAAGCATCCCAAAAGGCGGAGACTCCTCGGATTGGATCAAAGAGCCAGGTGACTGTCACGATAGCGCCACGCTGGCTTCTAACTCAGCAAACCAAGTTAAATCATGCAGGACAGTTTTGACTTAAAATAGTAATAAGACACGGGGGTGTTAAACAGACCTGGCAGCCTTACATGACTGGTGCGCGTCCTGGGCTGCACTGCACTCCGCATCACTGAACCCAGGAACCACAGCGGTTCTGGATGAGAACCTGACACGCCACATGCAGGACTCGCAAAGCCCACCGTTCCCATACCGGCAACCTCGAATACATTTCATGTGCTTCAGTCTAATATTCAGCGTCGCGTTTTGCAGCCTCGCCAAGCGGGTCCGTGCGCGCCCGTGCACGGCACGGCGGCGCGCACCGCGCGGGCACGCGCCGGCAGCTCAGCCGAGTCCGGGGCTTCCTAAGCCGATCTGCGGCAGTACGAGCCCGGCCAGCCGAGCGGCACTAGGCCGGTCGCCGGGCACCCTGCTCCCCCTAAGCATGATGAGGCACGATGCTAGGTGGTCGCTATGCATCAGCTCACCAGGATCCTCTTGAAGAGGGCGTTCTCCTTTGGCGGCAGCACGGCTGTCGGCATTGTTCCGGTGTCCGCCGGAGCTCAGCACATGTGAACGTCTCTCCCCCTGTCCTCCCCTGGTTCTCTGCTCCGCTCTCGCCCGATCGCTCCCTCTCCGGGCTCTCCTATCTCACGTGGTGGCTGAGGGGACCCCCTCCTCCTCCTCCTCCTCTTCCCCCACCCCTCCCGTCCAAAATGGCCGATTCTCCTCTGGCTTCGCGTCCGCGGTGCTCAGCGACCCGAGCACCGGCCCACGCCTGCGACCCACATCGCCGCTAGGTGGCGCCGGTCAGACGGAATAACCCTCCGCATGATCGCACCTGTTCGATCTGCATCAAAACTTAAGTGTTCTACAGTTTCTAATTAAACATAACAATCAAGCTTGATTAGAACTTTCTTCATCAGGTAGGCTTTCAAAAGTGGCATTAAGAAAGGGAACATTTCTTACATACAATATATGAATATATTACGAAATGTTCTTTCTTCACTCCATACTTTTCCCATCGTTCAATTCCTGTTTATATATATATATATATATATATATATATATATATATATATATATATACACACACACACACACACACACACACACACACGTATTAAAGTAGAGGTACCATTATATCTGGCTGTATAATCCTCGGTAAAGCTTGCTCTTCACAGACTCTGTTTCCTGTTCATTACCCTCACCGCATTTAATTTCCAGCAGAAATGTTTACTTCTGTGTAATTCTGTTGAGCTTCGGTCCAAAGCAGACAAACGCCGCGAGAACTCACTTCTAAACATTTCAATATGTTTGGCAACAGTGGCATTGATGCAGAAAAATAACTCCTTCTTTTCCAACCAATGAGTTGTTTTTAATGTTATTACTTTTTTCCAGTAGAAAATATGTATCAGGGCATTACCAGGGTTACCAACTCTCACACATCTGGTGTGACACTGATGCTTTCAGACTCTGACGCTCATGCAAGAAATCTTATGGCAAATCTATAATAATCCATTATAAACCTAAAATTTATAGGCTGCTGGGGTCGTTTGCAAACCCTACAGACTATAAAACTATAAAACTGTTGCATACATGTAAATGCGTGTACAGACTTGTCTCGAATTGATAATCTGATTAATAAGTTGACAACCCTGCATCGCAGCTATGTAGAGTGTCGTGAAAGGTCAGCCATATCAGATTGAATATCAATTAGTAGTCTGTGTCAACTATGGAATCAGCAATCAGGACTCTGATATGTAAGTTTTCAAGGTAACTCCAAAATTAGGAGGTATTGCTGTTTGCATCACCAGAATAAATCACAATAAGGAGAACACTTTAAAAAAAACATTTCAGGTACTCGCTAAATATCATTAGAATTATGTGACATTTAAACGTATAATACGTATAATAAATGTATACGTAAAGTATAACTTGGATCAGTTACTCTGTGATCATCAATGTTCATTTCCTCCCTGGGATAGACTAGGCTGACGAATCGAAAATCGAGTGCAGCACAGCGGGACCATAACCCAAAAAATACTGGAGAATATTCGAAGACATGCCTTTAAACAGGTTATTACTGCAGACGGCCAGCGTCAGCAAAAGTGAGTAGACAACAGATATTATGTCAGCTGTGATTTCTACTAAATAAATCCAACGATTTGCTCGGGGTTTGTCTTAGAAAGCTAGCAATTTTAGCAGTAATTTCAGCCCGATGCTGACCTTGCTTCAATATCATGTCATTGTGTTTTACGGATGAGTTTTAATCGTTTTCAGTGATCTCTAGGTTTTTCACTTTTCTGTTTCTACATAACTAATTAATATTACCAATAATATAGACATAAACCGAATTATTTCACTGCCTTCCCCACTTGTTAAAGACATACGATTATTTATAGTCGTCTATTTCTAACAAAGCAACCAAATCAACGCCAACAGCTTGATCACAACAGTTATTCATTAACCGATCTACAAGCTTGCTACCTAGTAGGCCTATGTGTCGGGACCGTGTCCTTTTAGACCTATTCATGTTTCCGGGAGGCTGTATTAGTGTATATCGAAAAAGTATCAAAGCGTCATCTCACCCGCCCGTGGGAATTTTGCTCTGAAAGAAAAGCAAACTTTGCCAGAGAAGTCTTTTTGTTGACATAATAAAAGACATGTCTAGTGATACTGTTGTAGCCACATTTCTGTTACCAAGCTGTTGTTTGTAAAGATATGATCGGGGTACAGACTACCACAGACTGCATCTCTTCCCCCTCCAGGTGTTACCCGGTCAGCATTTACTGCCAGAAAGCCAGACAACAGCAATCCGAACTGGCTCCGTGTGGGTTTGGCGTTTGGGAGCTCAGCTGCTCTCTGGGCACTGGTAATGTCATAAAGAACAGAGCAGGACCCATAACATAATTTCACTCCAAAACGAAAGCTATAAGCACGCGATCCCAGAGTTGACTGTAACCCAGAATCATTTGAAGACACTGTTCATATTGCACCATTGTTAAAATGGTTGGCCTACATTTCTGGGTTTCTTAAATCAGTGCATGCATGTTTTTATATGTTTAAAAATATTTGTCCCACTGCCTTTCTACGCTGATTTTCCCCAACCCCTCTTTTACAGCTTTTCAAGCAACACGGTGAAGATGTTGCTGAGTATAAGAGACGGAGTGGACTGGAATGAAGAGCTGAGGACGTTGTGAGTGAGGAGTGCTCCATCTGTTTCTCTTGGCTTTGAGGCTGACTGCATCACATTGTGAAATTACTTACATTGTAGAGTGTGTTAAGTGTTGCAATGCAATCCTCAAATGATGATAAAAAACAATGCTGTCATGTTTGGGTTCATACATGATCAGATGAGATGTTTGCCTTGAATAATAAAATTTTGGTTACTGTGTGTATTTTTTTTCCCTCAGAGCAAAGCAGAAGATACCAGATTGGGAGAGAGTACTGTCTGTATTGGGGATACATGATTGATATAGTATGTTTGGTGTTATGCACAGTGTAAAGAATGTGTATTAAATAAACTTGTAAATACACTGAGCTTCCGAGGTTGAAAGTATGAAAATCCAGAATCTGCACTAGATAAACACACACAACACATAGTTAATCTTTGTATTTTGTTACAGGAATGTTGTCTATTTACTGTATATAATTCTAGTATTCTTAAAGACCTGCAGGTGCTTTGGAAATGTATAATATTAGTGAAAATATGCTATTAAATTTCTCTAATTTGTAAATTACGTTTTCAATTCCTGATGAAGCCTCTGAGAAGTAAAACGTTTATCAAGAAATTGTCTTTACAGTCAGAAACGATTTACAGCCGACAATGGAAGCAGGGCTTTAAAGCACAGTCACATTGACTATAGCAATTTAAAAGTAAAAAAAATCAGTATCTTATTTAAATCCATCAGTATTGTGTAACTGCTTATTAAGTGCATTTGTTATTTAAAAGCAAATTTTATTTACGAGCGTTTATATTACGGTGATGTGCCGTATTGTTTGAAAGCAAACTATGGTTTAACCTTCAAGATTATTTAAGTAAGAAGCGAACAGGATGCAGAGTTGAGCATCATTTCTTACTTGTGTTAACAATCACACGTCCGCCTGCTTGCCCTTCGCCCGAGGCCCTGGCACAGTGGACGTTGGCATCCTGTGGTCAGCTAGAGGCTGCTGCTCGGAGCGCTTGTTGGCCCCGCTAGTCTGCACAGCGTCCCGGTGACGCACTCCTGAGCGGCGACGTCTTCCTGCAGACCGGCCTGACGTAAACTCGGCTCCTTGGCACATAGGTCTCTGATGCCGCTGTGCAAAAGTGGTGTGTTATATGTTGGTAATGTTTTGACTGATCAGATTTAAAAAACATAAGACGTGCGAGGAAGGAACGTAAAATAGGCCAACATCTTTCTTAATGTACTTTAATTGTGTAGATACAGTAACATAACCAACCACTTTCTAATAAAACCATCTGTTTTAGCCGTTATCTTTGAGGAAGTATGTGAACCTAAACTTTATAGGCATATATTACTTTTGTTTAATCTTAATTGTTTTTCTGTTTGTCGTTTTCGGGTATGCATTATGTTGGCCATATACTTTGTAATTATGTAGGCCTATATAAAGCTTAAACTAAGTAGGCCTACCTTCCTACTTGATTTGTATGAGCACATATAAATGTATTTCTAATGGCAGACGGGAGTGCACAGTATACAGAACCAAGACTTGATCACGGATGCAAAATGACGCAAAGAATCGTGCAAAAATGTCAAATGTGGCCAATTAGCTTTGTAGCTGTCTAGACTTTTCAGTAAGATACACGTGTGTGCTTAAGTTATGTTATTAAAACGAAAGCTTCAGACAGCCACTGTACTTCTCTCACATAGTTCAGTTAAACATTGCTGGTTTGACAGAGACTCTTTCCAGGTAAATAATATAGGGGATTCTCAAAAGCAGTCAGAAAGCAGCAGTGTATAAGCAATGAGCCTGGACAGCTGTGATTATGGGTACCCATACGCATTTCTCACGATCCAGTAAACACTGGGAATCCTGGGCAAACCAGACCGGCTGTCCTGTGCCAAAGCGCCCAATATCCGTCTAATATGGCCAGTTCGGTTTTCTTGTTACGCCTTCGTTATGGGCATGTGCAAGATGTTTTTCATTGATCCATTCTAAAATTGGTTACGCTGTCAGAATTCTCACTTTAGAAGAGAATGGTGAGTTACAACCATTTTTAAAAATGTTTTATTGCCCCCTGCAAAATTATGAAATAGTTTTGGTATGAGTGTCTATCTGCAACGGATGCAGTAGGCCTAATTATGCAATAAAAAACTGTCACTGTATGAAATAATTAAAAGTGAAATATGAAAATGCCATCCCCCATACATAAGGGGTGGCCAATCTTATCTGCAAAGGGCTGGTGTGTATGCAGGTTTTCGGTGCAACTTCCTAATTAGGTCACTAATTAGAGGACTGATTGGATGAAGAGTCCTGGCACCTGGGTTTGAACAGCTGACCTATAGGTTATCCCAAAAACCTGCATACACACCGGCCCTTTGCGGATAAGATTGGCCACCCCTGCCATACATCAATGGTTACATGCAATACTGCTTCAGCAATTAAAATTAGACGAGCAAAAATTCTGTTTGATATCTTTGAGGAATGTGGTATTTTTACACCGATATCTCAGGTAAGCACTGGGGTTGCTATGCTGCATGAATGAGGGGGGAGTGCTGCTGTGTCTGAAATCTGGTTTTGCTGTAATTCAGGGTTTCCTGAGACTACAGTGTTCAGTTTGCAGTTTCCTGTTAATTTTGACTTGGTGTCACGTCCCAGCGACTCTGGCTGTAGTATGAAGCACTGCCTCTTTGCGTCCCGCAGTGATTCCAGCCCGTTCCCTGGCATATGGGCTACCGGGTGGCACTGGGCCAAAACTGGCTTATGTCGTCCTCTGCGGGGGTCCCTGGCTGCTGCCGTCATCTATGTGAGCGCTATTTTCCTCCCCCGTGAACTTTTAATTAAATAGCGCCAATTAGCTGTTATGTCTACGAATTTGAAGTATGACTTAATATTGTACCCCCCCCCTCAAAAGGCTTACAAGACCATCATTTCTGGCAGAGAAAATTTTGCTGATAATGTTGCCAGCATTGATGCTAAGCCAGTCCCAGACAAGGCCAACTGAGAGTTAGTCCTAAAACACTTTCTGAATCTGAATAACAGTAAAATTAGGAATAACAAAATCTCTGAAATCTATCTGTCATCTCATCTGGGCAGTGGTGCCTTAATGGTTAGGGAAGCGCACTTGTAATTGAAAAATTTCAGGTTCGAATACCCGACCAGCAAGGTACCGCCCCCAAGCACTGCTCCCCGGGTGCTGAATTAGCTGCCCCCTGCTATGTCACAATGTCACATATGGGTTAAATGCAGAGGACACGTTTTGTTGTGTGCTGTGCTGTGTCAACACTGATAACTAAATTCTAAATCTGTGTCGCTATAACCGGAGCATATAGGGCATCAGTAAAAATGACAAATAACATGGCATTGTGGCATGTATTCAGAGGGTTTATCCTGTGCTGTCAGTCACAGACTGGCTTACCCTCTCACCCGACTAGTTTATTATGGCAGCACACGGTATTTCCACTGACTATTACTTTTCAAGCATAATTTCTTGCATTTTGGGTGATATTACTAGCAGTTATTGATGGGTCCTGTAGTCTAGATGCTGATGATAGCTGAATCGGCCGAGGTGGCTGCTGCAGATACGGTGTCGTCTCCTGCTGAAAATGACGCCATGCCCCCTACAGGGCAGGAGGTCACCCTTCCGGTTGACAGAGCGGCCATGGCCTGACGTGGATGCTGCCTGCTGCTCCAGTGGAGGCGTGAAGCTTGTGCCTGCTGGCATGTACAGAGTAGTCTGTCCTGCAGAAACCCACGTTTAAATTAGATATGAAAACCAGTCTTAGCAGATACATTTGATTATCGTTAAAGAAACGCCCTAAAGATATCAAAAATGTCTGCCTGTGAAGAATGTATAAAAATTAGTAACATAATTCCCATGCCGCCTCTTTGGTTATTAAAATGACAAATACCTTACATCATTAAGACAATTTCTGCTGGAAAGCGAGGTTTTATTGGTAAAACTGAATTTACCATACCCATCTACACCCAGGGGCCATAAAGGGGGGGGAGTTAGGACCTCTAAGTGAGGGGGGCCCTAAAAATATGGAACATAATTTAATTAGTCTGGGTTGGGGGTCCAATATGATATCTTTTTACGGGGTCAAAATCTCTAGCTACGGCCCTATCTACAGCGATATTAATATTGAAATGCATATTTCTACTTGCACATTAATGCTATAACATCTTACCAGTAGGTGGTGCTAAAACACCAAAGGACAACAAATCGAACGACGCGGTGCGCAGCGAAGTAAAAACGCATTTGCAGTTGTCATACATCCCGCGTTACAGCACGTTTACAACAACTATAACACGCTTTAAGGCTTTAAAGAAAAATACGAGTAAAATAAGTTGTTTGGAACAGTTAAAAAATGTGCGTGGTAAAGTAAAAGAAATGCTAGCCGATGGAGAAGTGTGTGATTCCCAAACCGACGGTGTATTTTAATGTAATATTGCGATGGAGAAGGGGGGGGGCACCCGAGCGTAACCTCCCGTAATTTCTGGGAAAGGGGGGGTAGCGTGACGTCACGGGCCGTGTTTCGCTCTCCGACAGCCTGAGAGAGGAGAGGGGCTCGCGTCAAAACAATCAAGAAAAAAAAAAACAAAAACAAAACAAAAAACCAGGCAGAAAAGAAATACAGGGCACGTCCGCGAGGCGCTTTTCCCACGCGCTGCGCTACGCGCTCGTGCAGGGCACTGGCTCGGGGAAGCCGCGCGCAGGCGACGCCGCGTCCTGTCAGCCGACGACAGCGGAGCGGAGCAACTGGCAGCGCCGCCGCCGCCGAGCGGGGTGACCGGGGCCCGCCTTATCCTTTACGCACCGGACAAAGAGCTGCCTCCGGGTAAGAGCACAAGCCCCTCAAACCAATTCAGCTTCTTTTTTCTTATTTATTTCGACGTGTAATGCCGTCGGAGTGCGGCTCGGCTGCTCGCTTACCGCAGGCGGCAGCTTGCATTGGGCTGGCAGCGCAGGTTCAGCCCGCGGGCGGTGTCGCCGACCGAGGTTAGCAGGCTGCGGCCGGTTTAGCTCAGCCCTGATCGCGCAGCCTGGCTGCTCGCTGCAGTTGTCTCGGCCTCTTTTCGCCGTTCCGTGTTTTAGGTCTGCCCTCTCCCCGCAAACACATAAATAATAAGTTTATCTTCAGCTTCGGCACTGCTCTCCAGCTAATCTGCACGCCGTGCTAATAAGTAACATGTTTGCCAGCTTGGTAACTAAATAAAATACAGTGTAAAATACAAAAGGAAATAAACCAGAGCTGCTTGTAAATAATTAGAGGGCGCGGGGTGGAGGGCCGCTGGACGGAGGCGGGTTGCTGCGCTCCGGTCAGAGTGCTCATTCATCACGGCCTCCAGTCACGCCCGTAATGTGGCGTTTAGTTACAATTTTATTGTTTGATCTCGGTCTGGGCACAAAAGATGACGACGGGGGGTAGGTGCTTGGGGATCCGAAGCGGGTCTGAACGGTGATTGACACCGGGGGAGACGGGGAGATGGAGATGATGATAACGACGGTGATGCAGATGGAGCTGACTTGTCTTACGTGGCCGGGGGACAGCCGGTCAGGTGGGTTGTTAGCTAGCATTCATGCTAGCATCCTACTCCTTGAACCTTGCGTGATAAGGGGGGGGGGGTCCTGTACTTTAATAAAAAAAAAATAAAAAACCAAATGTTAATTCGGCGGACCGCACAAACAGCACTGTGTGTAAAAGGGCTGATCGGCATCAACTGCATAGTCTTCCAGTTTGGGACCTGCATCGCGTTAAATGCACGTAATGATGCGGTCGCGCGTTTTTCGTGCTCCTGTCGGACCCCAGTGTTTCGCTTTATTGTTTCGTGCTGTGCGTTATTGAGTCACGTGACACCGGCGACGTCATCTGTTTGTTGTTCCGGCACGTGAGAGATCGGGCCCGAACCCCGAGACTGGTTAATCGATAGTATTAACGGGCTCGCTTGTTTGATCTCGTTGCACGCGGTACCTCGAGTTCTTAAACCTGTTCAGATCATCTAAATAAGCACGTCGAGTTGTATCGACAGTGCTTGGAATCCATGAAGCGAGGTTTATTAACATTGATTCGGGTGCAGATTTGGCAGCTGGTGCTTATTTTCATATTTTGTTATCCACTCACAGAATGCATATGGAATGTCCACGTGAATTATTTTTTTAAATGGTGTATGCGAGACGAATGGAATGGATTATTTTCTTTTGGTACACCACGTTTTAAGTCCCGTGCAGAAGACTGGTTTATATCAGTAATGGGTTTAGTGTAACAGCACATTATCTCGTAGGTGCTTTATCTGCACAGAGCAGCCGTGTTTTGTCCGGAGCTGATGTTTTGTGCTGCCTTCGGATTAAAGGTAATGTGCCATGCAGATAGCCTTCACTTATTTTACATTCTTGGTTGATGTGACATTAAGATCTATCTATGAGACATTTCCATTCATAAGTAAACAGATTACATTATACATTTAGATTATCGGCCGGAGGGAGAGTCTTCAAGCTAACAGCGTCTAGAGTAGTTTACGAAATTAAATCCATTACTCATGTAGCTCTTGGTTTTTCTTAGGGTCAGATCGCTGTTTTAGTACGTGGTCAATCATTAAACCATACAGTTTTCTCAGTGGTCTTCATGCAAGCATCATTTAGTTCTACGTATTTAGTAGCATGCAGATATTAGACAACTGGTTGTTTTAGGCACACCATAATTAAGTGTGTTGGATGGAGTGTGACATCTGAATTAAGAACACGGGTTGGCCCTCTCCAGAGCCAATCGGGGCTGCTAAGTGTTTATTTGAATAATAGAGGAGAGTGTGATTTGAAAAGCCAAGGGCACAGAAGCCAGCTCTATCAGGTTGGATGCGTATGAACAGGCTCTGCTGGTGTTACGTACTGGGCCTCCTGTGATGGCATGCTGGTCACATCTTTCCTGTCTTCAAAGGACATCAAACGCATAACTGTGGCCACATTGAATAGGCCTGAGTCTGAGGCTGTCCGGAGGTTCCAGTGTGGCCAGTGATTCTTTGATTACACTATTAGTCAAAGTTGGGAGTAAACAATGGCTCCAAACTGTCAGTATACTAAGTCGGTTTTTAATAAATGTACTTTTCTCACATTAGTGGAAATTGTACAGCTTTAGAAGTAATTTACACTTTAATCCACTTGAAGTTTAAATATGCCCTTAGATATTTGAACTGGTTTCTCTGGTGATGCAAGTTGGCACTGCAGACAAGACTTGTGGTTGAAGTGTTCTCTTTCATGAGCTCTGAAATCTTAAGTCACTTGATGCAGGATTGATATTATTTTCACCGCGCTAGTTGGCTGTGAGGTTATTCCGTGTGCCGTTGACCTTTGGAATGCCACTCCAGAATGACAGAGAAGTTGCTGTTCCACATTTTCCAGATCTCCAGTAGCGACTGGATGGAGCAGAGGGTCTGGGTATTAGTGGATTGGCTGCTTTTAGACATGTGATTATCTGTGGGGCTAGGGCTGTGGCGATCGCGTCTTGATGTAACTGTGATGATGTCGTGCATGTGCAGTAATCACCATAGCTGTAGATGACAGGTGATACATTTGTCCGGACGCCGGCTTTTCGGTACTAAACAGACGTTTACTAACGCCCACAATTTGGTAAGGAGATTAGTACTGTGCCTAAAATATTACTGAGATGCGTATCGTGATGCCCAAAAGTCAGTTGTCTGCATAAATTCGGCGTATCCTTATGTTTATTAAATTCATTTAGTGGTGCACGCCACGTGTGACTGTTTTGGTAAATCATGGGAGCGATAATCACTGAAGTCGCGGTGAAGAGAGGAGCAGCTCAGCAGCCACAACGAGGAGATATTGCAGATAAACAAGGTAAAGAGACGTCAGGTTTGTGGTGGTAGCTTTTGCAGTTTAAATTCTAAGGATACGCCAAATTTATACAGATCACTAATTTTTGGGCATCACAATATGTCATCATTAATATTTTAGGCACAGCACTAATCTGCTTACCAAATTGTCAGCGTAAGTAAAAAGTACCAAAAAAATCAGCATCCGGACAAACATTTCACCCGCTATCTAAAGCCCTGGTGATTATTGTGCATTCGCCATATAATTGCGATTACATCGCAACATGATTGCTACAGCTCTATGTGAGGCAGTGTCAGACAGTCAGCATGTGTGTACTGAATGTGACCTGTTGGAGTGGTTTAATGTTTAGAGTTGGCTGATGAGAATACAGTAAAGATGAGGTTCATTAGATGATGGGGAGAGGGTGTAAAAAATCCATCATTGAAACATGTGGTTTTGGGCCCCGTAATAGTTGGGTTATGAATATTTAAATGTGTGGCGGATACGTCCTGCTGGTGTTCTTGATTCTGCATGCGGAGCTGACTTCTGCAGCTTGTAGTGTGGTCTTGGGGATGTGGGGCCTGGGATCTTGAATGGAATTAATTTAGATGCAGACCTTGCACTTAAAAGCACAGTGTGTTAATCTTGCTATGGCAAAGGCCAATTAGAACATAGGGTGAGCATGGTGTGTTTTTGTCTGAGGTGGTTGCGCAGTGTGGTTTTGGTTTCTGCTTCAGCTGATGTCCGCTCATTTGGGAACCCCTTTCTGCTTTGTTTCCACGTTGCCATGTTTTGATCCTGTGTTCGGTACATGTGCCCCTTTAAAGCTTCCTATGGGAACTGGCTGCGATGAGCTGGTCCTCCAGCTTCCCTCCCCCACGCCTCCTTCCCACCATGTGCTACCCCGTGCCCTCAGCTGAGGTATCTGCCCTGTTAGGGCTCAGCTGTGATTTACCAAACCCCATCGGTCTTGGCTCTCAGCAGCACAAGCTGAATCATTCCAGGTTCGCG